TACACAAATAATTGCACTACAATGGGATGGAAAACATTAAAAAGGACGTTCCAAGTGTTTTTGGAGCAAAAGAAAAGGGAACACACTCTGTTTAAAAGGAGGATAGGAAAGATATTCTAGGTACCAGGATCAGCATGTGTAAAAGCTCAGAGGCAAACCGACTTCGCGGGAGACGGGGTCAAGGGAAGGGGGGGGGGGAGACTTTCTGGAACAGGGCAGTGTGGGTATTCTTTAGGGGTCACTGGGCAGATTGAAGAAAGGGGTTTCTACCTAGGTTATAAAGGGTTTTTGTCATGCACAGAAATTTGAGTTATGTCCAGAAAACGAAAGGAAACTCAAGAAAACAAACAGCCCAATTAGAAGTGGGCAGAAGATCTGAACAGATACCCTCACTAGAGAAGATATATAGAAGGCATATAAGCATATAAAAAGATGCTCAGCATTGTCATTGAAAACTGCATATTAAAACAGTGAGATACAACTATGCACCTTTTAGGGTAGCTAAGATGAAAAAAACAAACAACTGACAATACAAACTGACGGTGAGAATACAAAGCAAAAGGAAGTCTCATTCATTGCCGATGGGAATGAAAAAGGTTTTCCACTCTGGAAAAGTTTGGCACTTACAAAACTTAACCTAGGAGAAAAAAGAAATGACTCTATGGTGGAGAAGTCATGTGGTCAGAATTTAACACCAAATGTCATCTTGATATGATGTGATGATGATAGTGTTTTACCTCAGTGGTCTTCTTCCTAGAAACACATTACCTCAGTCATGGTATTTTCATAAGAAGATACCAGACAAATTGTCACTGATGGACCCTCTGCCAGATACCTGATTAGTAATCCTCAAAACTGTCAAGGTCATACAAAACAAGGAGAGTCTAAGAAACCATCACAAATGAAAGGAGCTTAGGTGGCATGACCACTAAATGTAAGGTGACACCCTGGACAGGATCTTGGAACAGAAAGAATGAGAAAAAAATAGAACAGGAAAAAAATGAGAAATCTGAATAAAGTATGAATTTTAGTTAATAGAAATATCTATATTGGTCCATTAATTGTGACAAATCTACTATACTAATCGAAGATGTTAATAAAAGGAAAATTGGATAAGTCTTCACAATAATTCTATAAATCTAAAACTGTTCTGAAATAAAAAATTTATTTTAAAAAAGCCTAGAGTGTAAGAAAAAGAATGTCTATATGTGCATAACTAAATCACTTTTCTGTACAGCAGAGATGACACAGTATTATAAATCAACTATACTCCAAAAAAAAAAAAAAGCTTACAGGGGGAGCCAATGAATGAATTCCCATGGAATAATGACATCATCCTTTTGTAATATTCTATAAAATGGCCTATTTTAAAAAATGTAAATTTCAGAACTCTTTGAAAACTGCAGTGACTGTTGCTTGCAGACATTAAGGTGATGTCCTGCAAAAGAGAAAAACAAATTCTCAATGAGGAAGATAGTTGAGAGAAGGGGTATATAATATTCTCATGGACCTTTGAGGTTTTGGAGGATTGTCTTCTAGAGCACCTTACACCTTGGTTGTGCCTTGGAGATGCTCTGGTTCTGTTCCAGGCCCCTCCTACACTCCTGTGGTTGGATTACTTCCTCCACCTCACTGGTTACACTCTATTGTGCAAAGGATTGAGGCAAAGATCTCACATGGATTAGTTTTCTGCTGTTGTCTTAAGAAATTACAAGCTTCATAGATGAGAACAAAAACCAAAAGGTATCATCTCACTGAATCTTTATAGCATACTCATTTGATATATTTTTGTTACTATTTTCATTTTTACAGACAGTTTATGCAATAGTAAGAGGCAGACTGTGGTACATAATCTCCAAAGATGGACACCATATTAGCTTCACACTTGTTTCTTCAAGAACATTATTTCAGAGAGAAATAAACTTATATCCTGCTTAGAAAGTGAAGTCACTCAGTTGTGTCCGACTCTTTGCGACCCCATGGACTGTAGCCTACCAGGATCCTCTGTCCATGGGATTTTCCAGGCAAGAGTACTGGAGTGGGTTGCCAATTCCTTCTCCAGATCTTCCCAACCCAGGGATCGAACCCAGGTCTCCCATGTCATAGGCAGACACTTCACTGTCTGAACCACCATGGAAGTCCATATCCTGCTTAGGTCACTACAATTTCAGACCTCTGTGCGAGTAGCTGAAGCTACACCCTGATTTGTTGTTGTTCAGTTGCTAAGTTGTGTCTGACTCTTTGCAACCCCATGGACTGCAGCACTCCAGGCTTTCCTGTCCTTCACTACCTCCCGGAGTTTGCTCAAATTCATATCCATAGTCTGTAAACATAGCCATTTCTCAGGTTCTATAATTTCTACCTCTGACACATCTTCCCAGACCATCCCACTGTTTCCATTCCCACTGTCACTCCAGCCCATTGGAATGGGCTGGTCTAACTGGGCTGGTCTCTAATCCAGTGGTTTCCAAGGCAGTTTTCCTCCTAGGGGATATTTGGCAGCATTTGGAGACATCTTTGGTTCTCACAGCTGAGGGAGGGGGGTTCTCTTGGCGTTCTGCAGATAGGGATCAGGGATACTGCTAAATAGCAGTACCTACAAGATACAAGATATACAGTTCTGCACAACAAAGACTTGTGAGGCCCAAGTATCAGCAGTGCAGAACTTGAGAAACCCTGATCTCGCCCGTATTCTACCAGGGACAGATTCATATCTAGATCTGACCCACCTGTCAGACTCACAGCCTCCTGTCATCTTTGGAACTGCCTTCCTCCGTTTGGGGAAATTAAAATATTGTAAGTCTTGCTTCCCCAAGGAAAGAGATCAGACTCTAATTCCAGTCTCCTTAGGCCAGGAGTTTCCCTCAATTTCCATGCCTCAGTTTCCCTCAAGCAGATGCATCCCAGATGCATTGAAGTTTCAATTTTGAAGTGAGGCGAGGATATAAGTTCTTCTGGAAGCTTGGCATTTTGTTGGTGTAAAATCATGTGGCATTTGGAGGTGGCAGCCATTCCCCAGCGGTTCCTGGCAGCGGTGATGGCAGCTTCCATCCAGGGTGGGGTGGGGCGACTACCAGTCAAGATAGTTTCCCCATCAGGCCAGTTCTTCAGTGTGGTTCTGAGCATTCTCCTAGAAGCTTAACCTGGAGTCACTTCTTCAGGCCATCCCAGAATCCCAAAACTATCCATTACCCTTTTCATTTGTTGCTTTTCTGTTTGGTCAGAGTCAGTCTCTATTGCTCAGAGCTAAGAACTCTGATAGATGAAGCCTCCCTTGCTTAAAACTCTTCAATGGCTTCCTATGCATTCTAGGATGTGTCCCAAATCCTTTGCTTAGCTTGAGGTTCTTCTTTATCTGGGATGTACCCACTCTGTCCACATTGAGCTACTGTGTCCATTCTGGCCACATCAAGCCTGGTCCTATCATCCTTCCTTTCTTAATTCCATCGCTTGCCACTCAAGAACCTTCCGGGCCAACCACCCTTCCCTATGTACCCCAGTCCCCAGGATTGTTCTTATCTCTATCATAAACAAGACACTTTTTATGCTCTACCACAAAAGTTGATTCACTTCTCTGTAAGCTCTGCATGGGTAGGAACTTGTCTTCTCAGCACCTAGGATACTCTGGCACAAAGGAGGTGATCAGTATATATTTATCGAGTGAATGAAGGTCAGAATGTGGACAAGTGTTGCCACCTATTGGAAGAAACGTTATTCAACTTTTTTATGATTTGGAAAATGGCTATCTTCACAAGGATGAAACGTGACAATACTCTTTTCCTCATCGTCATTATTGCCAGGCCCGCTGTGGTACCTAGACTCCCAAATGGACCCCAGTGATCCGTGTCTATTGGTATTCATGCCTTCGGGTTGATTCTCCCACAATGAAGTCTTGGTTGAATGAGTGAAGTTGATAGAGAGATCATAAAAGACACTGTGGCTTCTGCCTTGGTCTCTCTGGGATCACTGGCTCTGAGGGAAGTGAGGGACACTCTGACACCATGCCCTTGGGACACTCAAGCGGCCCAATGGGGAGGCCCATGGCGTGAAAAACTAAGGTCTCAACAGAAAAAACCAAGGTCAACAGTCATGCGATCGAGATCCTCCAGCCCGAGTCAAAATTTCAGATAAATGCAGGTCAAGGCTGCTTGACCTACATCCTGACTGTAATCTCACGAAAGACCAAGACGGAACCAAACAGTCAAATTTTCGATCTACAGAACCTGTGTGAAAAATGTTTGCTGTCCTAAGCGGTTAAGCTTTGGGGTGATTATTAGGCAGCGACAGGTTGCCAATATACTCTCCGACATAGATCACCGGCTACAATGTTTTTTTTTTTTTTTTTTAATATATTTATTTGGCCACGCTGGGTCTGGGCCGCGTGTGGAATCTAGTTCCCTTACCATGGATTGAACCGGGCCCCCCGTTTTGGGAGCGCGGAATCTTAGCCACTGGCCACCACCAAGTCCCTACAAATTAAGTTTGCTGTAACGTGGGAAACAACCTAAGGTGCTGATGGGTGTGAATGGTGCTGGAGCCACGGAGGAAATGGAGTAAGAACCAGGACACCTGGCCTTGCGGAGCGGAGAGTAGTTTGATCTGTAGCATCCCTTTCCGCGTTAACGTTCCCTAGGAAAGGCGGAGACAAGTGACACAGCTGCACCAGTGCCGCGACCGCGGCGGCCTCCACGCCTGCGCAGAACTCATCGCGCCCTCTCAGGTGGCGCCGTTGCGCGCCGAGTCATCGATCGTGAGTTCCCGAGCGGCCTGGACCCGTGTGGGCCGCCAGCGGTCTGCTCGCCGGTGGGCTCCAGGGGGCGCCCTCAAGAGAAGGGGCGGAGCGCTTCTGTTCCAGAGACCAGCTCGGCGGGGTCCGCGGTCGGTTGGTTACACCTCCGTAGCTACGGTAGTGGCCGCTGTAGGCGGGAGCTCCCCAGCTGCTCCGTAGTTACCGTCGGCGCCCCGGGGGTCCGGGCCGCTGAGTCCCTCTCGCGGCCGCCATGAAGCTGCGGGTCCGGCTTCAGAAGCGGACCTGGCCGCTGGAGATGCCAGAAGCCGAGCCGACTCTGGGGCAGCTGCGCGCGCACCTGAGCCAGGCCCTGCTGCCCACCTGGGGGTACAGGTAGGCGCCGCGGAGAGGCGGGGTGGGGGGTGGGGACGCGGCGGGGCGGGGAGGCGCGCCCAGTGGCGCGGGCCCGCCCCGGGCGGTCACGTGAGGCGGGGCGGCTAGCGGGCCTGTAGGGGCCCGCACCCCAGGACTGTGACGCGCGCGGGCCAGGCGGGGAGCGGGAACGAGGGCTGCAGCTCGCGGGGTCCTGGCTCCGGGAGGTCATGGCCCGGCGTCCCGAGGGTGAGCCTTCGTTTCCGTGTTTGCAGTAAACGAACCCAGGGAGAGGCTAAGATGCAAAATTCTCGAGTCTTTTGAGATGTGAGCTGGGAAATTACTGGTTTGGCTTAGGTTAAACCTCTTCAGGCTCCCAAGGATTTAAGTTCACCGTCTCCAGCTGTCGGAATATTTCAGTGAAAAAGTTTGTAAAGTGCTGGAAGTTAAAAACCTGCTTCGTATCTCGTCTGGAGATAAGAGGCCACCTGTAACCTGTACCCCTGCTTTCAGACTACCAGCCGGCAGTCCGCTTAAAACTCTGTTTTAAGTGTTTACCTGCCAGACGCCGCTGTGGGCACTTTGACTTCCCGCTGGAAAGTTTTGCGAAGTGCAGCGTGTCGGTCTGTTTCAAATATTATTTTCCTGGACAAGATGTTGCCTTTTTTTTTTTTTTTTTTTTTAAGGCAAACTATGGTAAACGTTGGCCTTATGATGACCCCGGAGAGCTTGCAGTTTGGGGACAGTGACTTTGAGAAATAACGGATCGAATTCTGTTATTTATGGGGTTGCAGATGAGGCTCTCCTGGGTATCCTGGAGACCATAACCTGGAAGTAGAGGGACAAAAGTGAGGGTGGTCCTCTTCAAATACTGAGCTAGCGAATTTGGAATTTGAGTGTGCTGAGAAAAAATACAAAAGGTGTTCATTGGGGCTTTTTAGGTGAATTCTTCAAAAGAAAACCTGCTAACTGACTCCTTTCGTAAGACTTTCATAAACTTACGTTTTATTTTTAGGAAATTCAGTAAAATGAGGTTTTATTATGAACTCACCCTTTCATTTTTCAGTTTAGGACATTACATCCAAAGTAAGCCTTTTTTCCCTCCAAATTAAAAACATAAATACAGAAAACGGGATACTGACAAAATTCCTTTTAAGTCTTATAGTAATTGTCTGACACGTCTATTGTTTTTTCTTGATGTTAAGCCTAAGTGTTTTGCATGCTGGTATTATTACCGCACCACAAATGATCAAAATTAACTTCTCTTTTAAAAATAGCTTGTATACATGTATACATATTACTTTTTAATTAGGTGGGACAATCTGGAAAGGATGTGAAACCCAATATGACTAGCTTTGTTTACTCAAGAGCCCAAGTTAGTTTCTCTTTCAAGTTTGTTTTTACAGTTGAGGCTGGTTAACCGGAAGGAATGTAAGCTTCAGCTTGTGAAAGTGAATTCATTCTTCTGACAGTATGTTCATTTTATAATAAATGGGCAGTTTAAAAATGTGTCCATTAAGACCTTATTACTTTTAAAGTGTCCTTGCTGAGCAAGTGGATCTGAGATTGCCATAAAATAATTCTCAAAGGCCTGGAGTTTCTAGGATGGCATTTCCTGATGAAGTTCATTTTCCCCCCAACAGTGTCAGAAAACAGGATTGTTTGTTAACCATTCTCCTGGAAAACCATATGTTACTTTAGAAGTAGGTCTTTTACTAAAGGGGAGGGGAGGCCGACATTTTATTAAGCAGAAAATTCTTTACTTTTTTTAATGAATCAATATTTGAACGAACATTGTGCTAGATTATCATTTTAAAAAACCAACCTTATGCTGTGACAAATCATCCATAAACACAATTCATTTGAGGTGTTTCTTTTTTTCCTGCTAAAAATGGGATGTTGTTTTTCTGGGCACTTGGCTGATTTTCAACATTTATCAAAACATTTGAAAGCAGAGGCATAGCTACTTATTTTCTCATGAGCAGGAGTTGTTTCTAAAGCTTCAGTAATTTCTGTACCAAAGACACTTTAATTGGTAAGAAAATGTGTATTTACATGTGCAAGAAAAACATAAATGAATTACTGGGAGCACTTTTGAAAATGAATCATTGTAAAAATAAATAAACAGAACAGTTTTCAAAGGACTTCATCCTTTGTTAACCTCTCAAAAAGTTAATGAAGTTAGCATTGCTGAGTATAAATGTCTTTAAAATGTTCTACAGTGGTTTGCTAATTATTCCTCACCAGTGTATAATGAAATGATTATTCTCTGAAGATCAGATAATCTGTGGTGCAGAAAGGATGGGAGTTTATTACTTCAGCCTAATTTGAACTCTTAGCTTGCTTAGCACTGGGTTTTTGGATTTGTACACACATAATAGTGACTTCCCTGGTGGCTCAGATGGTAAAGCAGCTGCCTGCAATGCGGGAGACCTGGGTTTGATCCCTGGGTTGGGAAGATCCCCTGGAGAAGAAAATGGCAATCCACCCTAGTATTCTTACCTGGAAAATCCCATGGACGGAGGACCCTGGTAGGCTACAGTCCATGCGGTCACAAAGAGTCAGACATGACTGAGCGAGTTCATTTTTTCCACATAAAAGACTTTTAAGTAAGACCTCAGTGAGAAGGGTGGACCTCTTACTGAGTCAAGAGGGATGAATTTATACTCAGTCATCTGTGTGCACTCATTTAACTTTTTGTGATTATGCATATTCGTTAGGACATGGGTCTAGTATTTTGGAACCTTCATAAGCTAACTATCGTGGAAGGATATTGGATAGTTAGCCCTGATTTCAGCCTCATCTTGATCTTTTCACCTAATGTTTGTTGGTTACATCTGTTCCATAAATACTTTTTATTTGCCAAATGCTGGAGATGAAATTTTGAACTAGACAGACAAGGTCCTCAATCTCATGAAACTTAAATTCTAGTGGTATGGGTGTGGAAGAGAGATGATAAGCAAATAAATGATAGTTTCAATTAGTGATATTACAATAAAAGTAAAGCACAAGAATGGAGTAGAGTGATGGAGGTTGGGTAGAAGGCATCTCTCAAGAGGTGACATTTGGGTTGAGACCTGGGTGGTGAGAAAGAGTCAGTCATTTGAAGAACTGGAAGAGCAGATACATAGGCCCAGAGGCTGCAGTGAGGTTGATCTGTCTTAGAGGAAGGAGTGGAAAGCTCATGTAGATAGAGAACAGTGGGTGAGAGGATGAGTGGGATAGGTCAGATGTTGGGCTTTGGAGGCCATGTTAAGGCCAATTCCAAGGTCAAATAGAAGCCATTGAAGGGTTCTCAGCAGAGGAATGATGTAATATAATTTGTATTTTGAGAAGAATATATTTCATTGACTCTCAGTTGCCATCAGCCCTGAGATGCACATTCTTAAGTCACACTGAATGAAAAAATGCTGTCCATTAAGCTGTGATATGTCGTCAATTTTAAGACACATCCTTTTTTCAAAGATGACAAAGTATAAAAAAAAGTATGTATCTTAGAATTGATGAAAACATGGATTAATGATAGAGAATTACTGATCCTATGCCTCAGGCCAGAATCTGTAACGTCGGCATTTAGTGAGAAGAACAAATAATTTTGATAGTTTTCCTAGACTTTGGCTTTTTCTTTATCTCTGTTTTGTTTTGTTTTTCTTAGTATTGCTGGGGTCATACCGTGTACTCTGTATATGTTTCAAATGTATTATACCAGGGCTGATGGCAATAGGTAGCTCTTACTGTCCTTATTCATCTTTCTTGGCAGTTCCGATACCCGGTTTGCAATTACACTGAACAACAAGGATGCCCTCACTGGAGATGAAGAGACCTTGGCTTCATATGGGATTGTTTCTGGGGACTTGATATGTTTGATTCTTGAAGATGACATTGCAGCACCTAACTTACCTTCATCCACAGTTTCAGAGCATTCCTCACTCCAGAATAATGACCAACCCTCTTTGGCCGCCAGCTCCAGTCAGTCCAGCATACAGGATGCACGACTGCGTGACTCACTCCAAGGACAGGCAGCCCAATCTGAAGTCTGGAATGATGACAGTATGGTGGGTATTAATATCAAAACAAGAAATAGGGTAGTTGATAAATCATACGGAATAGCTCAACTGAATTCTGTACCAGTCAGGGTGATTACCATCAGTAGACTGAAGATTATATTCTTATAGAAATTTTTTTTAAATTTTAATTACTTTATTTTATTTATTAAGTATAGTTGATTTATGCATTCCTTATTTCATTGTATTTGGGAATTCATCTAGTACTGATTGAATTTTTAAAGAGAAACAGGGAGAGTATGGTTTCAGATGCTAATATTAGCTCTAAATTGCATTACAGTCACTTGTCCACTCACTTGTCAATGACATGTAACAAATGATCTATTTAGAGAGGTGGTGCTAAACATTTTTTCTCGTTTCCACATGCATGAAGAGTACGATAAGTATTTATATCAGGATGGCTCAGAGAGTGCCTGTGGTTCTCATGGAGTGGGTGTAAAGTTTGATAAGCTCACCAGAGGGTTTTGATATCTTCCTCCCATGTCATTATTAGCCGCAGTTCAGTTCAGTTCAGTTGCTCAGTTGTGTCCGACTGTCTGCAACCCCATGAATCGCAGCACTCCAGGCCTCCCTGTCCATCACCAACTCCCGGAGTTTATTCAAACTCATGTCCATCAAGTCGGTGATGCCATCCAGCCATCTCATCCTCTGTCGTCACCTTCTCCTCCTGCCCCCAATCCCTCCCAGCATCAGGGTCTTTTCCAATGAGTCAGCTCTTTGCATCAGGTGGCCAAAGTGTTGGAGTTTCAGCTTCAGCATCAGTCCTTCCAATGAACACCCAGGACTGATCTCCTTTAGGATGGACTGGTTGGATCTTCTTGCAGTCCAAGGGACTCTCAAGAGTCTTCTCCAACACCACACTTCAAAAGGATCAATTCTTCGGTGCTCAGCTTTCTTCACAGTCCAACTCTCACATCCATACATGACCACTGGAAAAATCATAGCCTTGACTAGACGGACCTTTGTTGGCAAAGTAATGTCTCTGCCTTTTAATGTGCTATCTAGGTTTGTCATAACTTTCCTTCCAAGGAGTAAGCGTCTTTTAATTTCATGGCTGCAATCACCATCTGCAGCCAAAAATAAAATCTGACACTGTTTCCCCATCTATCCCAAGAAGTGATGGGACCAGATGCCATGATCTTACTTTTCTGAATGTTGAGCTTTAAGCCAACTTTTTCACTCTTTTCCTTCACTTTCATCAAGAGGCTTTTTAGTTCCTCTTCACTTTCTGCCGTAAGGGTGGTATCATCTGCATATTAGCCTAGGGTAACCTTTAAAAACACTCTTCTTACATGTATTCTCTCCCACACGTCTGTCAGTAAGTAATAAATGGCCAGAAGTTAGGCATAAGAAGCAAAAAGCGTAGATACAGACATACCTCAGTGTTATTGTGCTTTGCAGACACTGTTTTTTACAAACTGAAGGTCTGTGAAAACTGTCAAGCAAGTCTGTTGGTGTCATTTTTCCAACAGCATTTGCTCGCTTCTATCTCTGTGTCATGTTTGGTAATTCTCAAAATAGTTTAAACATTTTTGTCATATTTTTATACCTTTTTAGTTATATTTTTGTCATTTTATTTTTTAAAATTTTTTAAATTTTTATTTTTAAAATTTTTGTCATTTTAAAAAATATTTTGACATTTATATTTTTTTATTATTTGTGATCTGTGATCTTTGATGCTACTATTGCAAAAAGGTTATGACTCACTGAAGACTCACATGATGGTTAGCATTTTTTAGCAATAAAGTGTTTTTTAATTAAGGGTAGACACCTTAATTAATTAAGGGTAGACACATTGTTTAGACATAATGCTGTTGCACACATAATAAGTGCCATATAGTGCAAACATAGCTCTTATGTGCACTGGGGAACCAAAAAAGTTTTGTGACCTACTTTATTGAAATATTTGCTTTCTTGCAATGGTCTGGAACCCAGCCTGCAACATTTCCAGGTATGCCTGTAATTCATAAGTTTGTCAGGTAAGTGGTTTTAATGAGCATTTTCTCCTTCCTCAAAGAAAGGGGCCTTTGAGGAGCCTCATTTTTAGGTAGTGTGGATTGGCCCCTAGGTTTTAATAGGTGAATGTAGAACTCTACAAGCCATCAGGGCTCAGATCCTCAAGGATTTTGAAAGAACAGCCTCTTGCTCCCTTACATTCTTCCACTATTTTACTCATAAAATGTAACTTTACTTTCCTCTGCTCCTTTTCTAATGGAAATAAACTTAAAAAGAAGAAACATGTGCTTTGCATTAAAAGTTGAGCACATACCTAGGAAGTAGTCTTTCTGAGTAAAATTAATGTAGGTAACTCAGTCTTACTGAAGCAGTGTATTATGTCAAAAAGCCCCGAACTATGAGTCTGGATATCTTGGATTGTTTCAGATTTTTGTTAGCTGGTAACCTTGGTTATATTATTTAATCTGAATCAAAATTACAGCATGTATAAAAAGGCGACCTCATCTGTCTTGCCTATTTTGTTTTTGGGGTAAATTAGAAAACACTGAAAAATATGAAATTGTAGGATATTGTCCTTCATCATTTATTCAGCAAGCATTTATTGGGTACCTACTGTGTGCCAGGTACTGTTCTTCTGTTACAAAAGTGAGTGACATGTCTTTTCCTTTCTAAGCTTGTTGTCATGGTAGGATATAGACATGAAATCAGAAAATTGCAGTACAGTGTGGTGAAGTGCAGTAATTAAGGCCTTTGCAAGGCAGAAAGATAGTCTACTGTAATACTTGAAGAGGTGGAGGAATACCAGACTGGAGAGGGAGGGACTGCAGAATGTGAACTTGATACAGAGTCAGGGGTCAGGTGATGAAGGGCCTTGTACGCTAAGGGGTTTAGGAATTTGGACTTTATTTTGTAGACCTGCATTTCTCAGCATGTCTTCTGTGGAAAACTTGTTTTGTGAGTTTAAAAGTGTTACAGGGATGTTGAGTGTTGAGGAAGGAGGATAGTGTTTCTTGGTTAAATGTTAGGCATGCTTTCTATTATTCCTGGACTTCTCAGAGTTTATAATGCCAGAATGTATTTTGTGGATATGGAGGATGAGGTTAGGTGGCTGTGACATGTAGCATTTTCCATACTCATTTGATTGTAGACCTCTTTTTCCCTAAGAGTATTTAGGGTCATGTTCCAAGGCATAATATACGCCTGGTGGTGCTGTCTGCATAGGGGAAGTACTGGCAAGAATTTAAGCTGGGACATAGGACATAATTGGATTCTCGGTTGTCAGAAAACTCTGGCAGCAGTGGGTGGAGTGTCTTGGGAGACAGGAAAGTGGAGTCCAGGGATATCTGGGGAGGCTGTTCCTGGAGGTTAGGAGATAAATGAGTCTGAAGTACCACTAGGATAGAAAGGGGCAGATTTTAGAGAGACTTAGGAGATAGATTCAGTGGAACTTGGACGACGACTCATGTTGAGGTGGGGCTTATAAGGTTGAGGGGGAAGTCTAGGATGATTTTCAGGTTTTTGGCATATCAGCCAAAATTCAGTTCAGTTGCTCAGTCGTGTCCGACTCTTTTTACCCCATGGACTGCAGCACATCAGGCCTCCCTGTCCATCACCAACTCCCGGAGCCTACCCAAACTCACGTCCATTGAGTTGGTGATGCCATCCAGCCATCTCATCCTCTGTCGTCACCTTCTCCTGCCCTCAATCTTTCCCAGCATCAGGATCTTTTCAAATGAGTCAGCTCTTCACATCAGGTGGCCAAAGTATTGGAGTTTCAGCTTCAACATCAGTCCTTCCAATGAACACCCAGGACTGATCTCCTTTAGGATGGACTGGTTGGATCTCCTTGCAGTCCAAGGGACTCTCAAGAGTCTTCTCCAACACCACACTTCAAAAGCATCAATTCTTCTGCACTCAGCTTTCTCTATAGTCCAACTCTCACATCCATACATGACCACTGGAAAAACCATAGCCTTGACTAGACGGACCTTTGTTGGCAAAGTAATGTCTCTGCTTTTTAATATGCTGTCTAGGTTGGTCATAACTTTCCTTCCAAAATTAATGGAGATCAAAGAAAATCCCATGGACGGAGGAACCAGGTGGGCTATAGTCCCTGAGGTCACAAAGAGCCGGACACTACTGACTGAGCCTTCACACAAGATACTCAGGAGGGAGGAGCAGATGGCAGGCTTATTCATGGTTTAGGAGCTCTCACAGAAAATGGGTACCATTTCTGAGCTCAGTAATGTGCTTTAGCTCTGAGCTGTAATCTCAGTTCACTTAGGATACAAAATATACTGTGAAAAAATGAAAGTCTGTTTGATGAATTCATTGCTTTTGTTATCCTTTTCAGCTGGGGCCTGGTCAGCGTTCTGAAGCTGCGTCAGCTCCAGATGTGGATGTGGAGGAGGGCGCGGGTTTCTGTCCCATGGAGCCCATGCTCTGCAGCGAATCAGTGGAGGGGCAAGTGCCACATTCATTGGAGATCCTGTATCAGTCAGCTGACTGCTGGAACCCCTGCGATGCCCTGATAGTATCCATACATCTTCTCATGTTGGAGTCGGGTTACATACCTCAGGTGAGATTACGGCCGAGAACAAAAGTTTCCTGTTAGAAAAGGGGTCGTGTTCTAGATTTCTTTCTTAAGTGTGTCTGGGTATTAATGTAAACTGTTGAAGACAATGCTGAGCATACCAGTAGGCAGTCAGTAAATGTTCCCTTCCCTCCTTCCTTTTTTCCTCCTTTGTTTCCTTGTCAGCTTTTAGTTAGTATTACAGAATTGATGACACCTATGGTTTAAAAAAACCCAAAAGATTTTATGTGATAATATGTATAAAATGTGGTCAGTGCATGTGGATTGTGTATGACTAGATAGTTGGCTCACCGGGTTATTTTTTTATGTTAGTGGTTCTGTGAATTGCCACTAACCTTAATACGATTCAGTTAGGAAGAGGGACATTGTTCTTAAGTTGTTGTTGCTTACATTCATTCATTCCTTATCTGTTAGACAAATACCTGCCAATGTCAGGTGCAGTGCTTACTGTCCAAGTGGAGGAGAAAGACAAGTAACAGACTGCTACATTGTATTGGCTAAATTGCAGGTGAAACGTGTATGTATGGAGGATGCCATGCCAGAGATTCACGAAGGAGAACGTTTAGAAGTTTTTCAAACTTTAATGTGCATAAGAATACCTAAGGGATCTTATTAAATGCTGATTCTGATTGAATAAGTCTAGGGTGGAGCCTGAGATAGTAGTGAGCATTCTGGGCCATGTTATGAGTAACAAGAATGTAGAGTAATTCAGTGATCAGCAAACACGGGGACCATGCCATGCACTGAGTCAGGATTTGGAATGTACAGATACTGGGACAGTCTTTATCCTCAAGGAGTCTGTAAGTGGGGAGAGAAACAAGTAGGAAGCAAATTATAATGTATTATGATAAATAATAGAAGCATTGCAATAGAAATATGAACAGAATGTTAGGGGGTGAGAGGGTGGACAGCAAGGATTTGTTTTGAAAAAGGCTTCACAAAAGAAGTGGGATTTGAGCTGGGCTCTTGAATAATGATATGGCTCTGCTAGGCAGAGAAGTGAAATTTTCAAGTGAGAATTCAGTCTCTCTCTCTGATATTTTATCTATTTGGACCAAACTTTTGATGGTGGATAATGTAACATTTTCTTTCACAGTTTTATTAGTGATTTGACAAACTTTATTAAAAGGGACTGTATGGAATGCTTATTTGCAGACAGGTTAGGGGCCTCTTGGGTTTTTCATTTTTTTGAGAGTAGCGCACTGTCCTTGATTATCTGTTTCCCTCTATTTCATGTCATTGTCCAGGGGACTGAAGCCAGAGCCGTGTCCATGCCGGAGAACTGGAGGTTGGGGGGCGTGTATAAGCTGCAGTACGCGCACCCTCTCTGTGAGGGCGGCTCTGCTGCGCTCACCTGTGTGCCTTTGGGGAACCTCGTCGTCATAAATGGTAACTAGCTGGAGGAGTCATGCTTGTTAGCTTGTGGATCTTTACATGTTTCTCTCCGAACACCTTACAGCCACTTCAGTGATTGGCTGTTGTGATAGGTAACTAGCTGGAGGAGTCATGCTTGTTAGTTTGTGAGTCTTTATATGTTTCTCTCCAAATGCTTTACAGTCACTTCAGTGATTGGCTGTCACAGTATGGCTAGGAATCTTTCTCAAATTTGTTTGATCCCCAGACTACTAATCACACGGGGGCCAAAAGGTTACAGAATACAGGGCTAATCATACTACTACGTCACACTTGCAAGGTCATAGCTATCAAAGAGTGAATGTGAGGTTGTAAGTTTTGCTTCAGTTTCTTATAAAAACAGCTCAACAACACTTCAACAACATATTAACCTTTATTTACTAGTCTTAAGGTACTTGATACAGAGAGTGGCTGCTAAATGTGTTAGTTCCTGATGTTTGTTCCTTTACTGATTCTTGACAAATGAGCTGCTTGTGGACTTCACGGCCGACAGCCATTCCAGGCGCGTGCCAGGCCAGGGTCTTTGAAAAGGAGCAGCGTGTCCTTACATCTTTCCTTTGCCCGAGACATCCTGCTCAGTGCACATGTGCCTGAGCACATCACTGGCTCCTTCACAGAATGAAATGAAGTGCACCTTTGTGTATAGGATTGAAAAATGAACCTTCTGGTGATGTCAAGAGTATTGGTCCTCTGGGTCTAGAGAGAGATGACACTGTGAAAGCTAGCAGGATTCTTTTAATAAACAAGGGAAGACTCATTGCCAAGGGTTAAATAAAAAATAAATGGAGTTTTTAGTGACCTCATTACAAATAATGATTGTATTGTGTTTAACTATTAACCTTGTTGCCTATCTTTCAATTATTAATAAGCTGCTGTTGGTAGTACTTAGTGGGTTTCATATAAAGGTGTCTCCTGTAGTTTTTAAAAATGGTGTTTTACTTAGCATGACTGCAGGTTTGCACTTTGGGCTTCGCTGTGAGGCAAGGAAGCAAGCAGAGAGCAGTTTGTTTGTACAATGTGTCCGTAATTGGGGGCAAGGGAATGAATGCAAGTCCATGTGAAAAAGTGAAGCAGTTGGTGAAATGACAAAACTTTTTCATCATCTTTCTTTTGCTATTTCAGCTACCCTAAAAATCAACAGTGAGGTTAGAAGCGTGAAAAGACTGCAGCTGCTGCCAGAATCTTTTATTTGCAAAGAAGAATCAGGTATTGTAACCATGATTTAGCTTTTGGGATAAAGGTTTAAGAGGCTCATGCAAAAAGAAAAGAAAAAAAACAAAACAACGGAAAGATAATGTTCAAAGACTTAAAATTTCTGGATGAGCCTAAAGCAAATTCACAACAATGTTACAGAGTTTCAGTTTCTTTCCTGTTTCTCTTAGGGTCTTAGATGCTAAATTATAGTTATACTGCCATTATGCTGTATAAATATATAAGTATACTGCCAAACTATATTTAGCATCATTATGGAATGATGCTATTATATAATCATTACACAGGATTGATACTTCATAATTTCTGAATTAAATCTTTGGATTTTTCTAGCATTGTATTTAACCAGTATGGAGAGGAAATGTGTTTTGTGGAAACCATACAATACAACTTCATTATGGAAGATCATTAAAAGAAAAACTGTACTCAAAATGTTTGCTTAAACTTACCTAAATTTGGTTACTGTTTTATACAGAGTGGAACTTCAGAAGTTTTTATTCTAGGCGTGATTTTGCTTGTATTCTATAATACTAATAGATGCAAAGAAGATAGTTTTTCTTTTGTCAGTTAAACCCAAAGTGTAACAGACAGGTAGGCAGTTGAAGGAGAAGAGATGAGGTGGGAAGGGAATTAAAATCTTTTGGCATACTTGTTTTTTGTTGGACATGTGCCTTTATGGATGTATTTTTCATTTTGTCCTCATAGTGAATTCAGGCGGGTTTTAAAATCGGGGGTCGGGGGTGGGGACTGGTGTGATACATTATAGCAGGGAGATGGCATTTACAGCAGTGTCTTTTAGGGTAGGCTACCTAGATCTAGATCTTTGCTTTGAAGGCCTTGAGACTTATTTTTGTCAGTTCCCAGGGGAGATCAGACTCTGAGAGACTAACTTACATGAACTGAAGTTGATAGGAAAGGGAGACCTCAGAATATGTATTTTTAACGGTCTGTGAACAATTAATGTCATACCAGGTCAGTGTTTCTCAACCATTTTTTCATTATCAATCCCCTAAGGAGGCTTTGTACACAATCCCCCACCCCAACTCCCAAATCATTCTCCCTCATGAAATTTTAATTTCGTAGATATACTATATATTTGTTTGTATACTGTGGCCCTTTGGAGGGTCACAAACCACTGTAATAGCTAGGATTTTTGCTTGGTTGGAGGCAGTATTGTTTCTTTTGAGAATGCATGAACTAGACTGATGAATCTGTATAGATGGTCTTACCATTAAGACCAGAAAAGCTTGAGATTCCTTGGCTACAACACTGTATGTTCATCTCTGTACTATGGAGGTCCTTACTGTGGGGAGTAGAAATACTCTACATTAGAGCAGTAGAGGTTTTTATGCCCATTTTCTAGATCAGGAAACAGGTCTAGAGGAGGTTAAATTACTTCAAGGACACAGAGTTAATAAATAGTAGAATTTAGGATTGGAGTAGATTTGGCTCCTGAGCTTATTTTTTAAGAACAGTGTTTATAGGAATGTCACTCAAATTATTTGATTTATGTTAAGTAAGGAATAAGAAAGCGAAAAAGGAGGAAGAAAGTTAATATCGTTAGATTACAAGTTTATGTGAATGTGTGTTAAGTCACTTCAGTTGCGTCCGACTCTTTGTGACCCTTTGGACTGTAGCCCACCAGGCTCCTTTGTCCATGGCATTTTTCAGGCAAGAATACTGGAGTGGGTTGCCATTTTCCTCCTCCAGGGGATCTTCCTGACCCAGGTATTGAACCCATGTCTCCTGTGTCTCCTGCATTGTAGGCCATCAGGGAAGCCACCAGTTTGTGGATTATATTAATTTAGTATTTTCAGTATGTACTTTGTATCTTGGGTAGGAGTATGCTGCTCATTTGATAAGTAATTTAAATCATTTTTACTGTGGCTTATAGTATAGTACCTAGTATATGCTCTGCACTATTACTTATTCTTTTATTTATAAATTGCTAATCACTTCTTTAGTAGGTCCATTAAAGAAAGATTTTGTTTAAAGAGGATTCAGCCTTCAGAGTTACAGTGTATACTTCCTCTTCTACTGGAGACTTTAGTTCATTTCTCTTTATTTAGGAATTATTTGTGAAAACTTACTTAGCGCTTTGATTTGGTTTGGCAGAAGTAGAGGACACCATTTCAAGTTTTTCCATTTGCTATTGTGTTTTGACTTTTCATTTAAAAAATATTCTAGGGGAAAATGTAGCCATGATATACAAAGATCTTCAGAAACTCTCTCGCCTCTTCAAAGACCAGCTGGTGTATCCTCTTCTGGCTTTTACCCGGCAAGGTGAGAAATGATAAATCATCACAGGCTAAAGGGCTGGAAAGAACCGGAAGTTCACATATGTTTAAGGATGACATGTGACTCTTCCCTCTTTTCTGCTCCTAGTGAAATTCTGCTCTTTTAAGCTTAAGTGCTAATTCCTTAATTGCTATTCACGTCCTCTTTGTATCTTCACTGCATTTTATACGTATCTTTATTATAGCCCTTTTTCCACTGCATCATAATTTTTCACATGATTTCTTTTCACCTAAGGTTATGAATTACCCTGAAAGCAGGGAAATATGTCTTACTCACTTTTGTATTCTCATGGCCTAGCACAGGGTCTGGCCCATAATTGGTGTTCAATAAATACATATATAAATAATCTATAGCCTGTAAATTAGGTCTACTTTTTAAAAAGCTGTTTATTGAGGCTCTGTGCCTAGGTACTTTGGATATTTGACATGCATTCTTAATGCTAACAACTCTGAAGTGGATTTTATTCTCATTTTATAGGTGATGAAACTGTAATTCAGCAAGGTTTATAATACACTCAAAATACTTGTATTAATAAGTTTTCTTTTTGTGTTTTATCAGTAGTGAAAAATATTTTAAAATCTTAGTGACTTAAATTGAACATTTATTTCTCACTCAGGTACATGTGTGTGTGGGTTAGGTTCAGCTGAAAAAGTGGTGAGAGGTCCTTATGTCTTGCTCTTCTGAAGCACAGGGGGAGAGGACCAGTGACCATGTGTTGGTCCTTTTTTTTTTGAATACATATTCATTTTAATAGTTCCAGGCAGATATAATGCAGAAAGCGCAGAGTTAGGGATAACAGATTGACTACATGGTGATGCTTTCAAGGGATATTCCTCAGAGAAAAGCCATCAAACTGTTGTCAGTGGAGGTTAAAACAGGGAAAGTAGTCCCATGTTCATGTGTAGAGGAAGTCTTGGGAGTCACTGATCAGCTAAGATCTGTTGGAGGGGTGGGGAGGGCATCAACAATGCAGCAACTGCTAACGGTTCACGTGATTCAAGGAGCGCTCAGCCCTCCCCACTCCTACAGCCAGGCAGGGCTGTCAGCAGGAGTTCACCAGGCAGGTCAGAAAAGAGCGATGCTGTGGCTCATACATCACCCATTCCGTCATTTCATCCAGCAAGTCAAACACTGTGTTAGGTACTAGACATGCAGTAGTGAACAAGGCAAACTGGTCCTTGCCCTTAGTGATCCTGTCCTCAAAGAGATCCAGTTAACTTCTGTGCAGTGAGATAAGATCCTTGATAAGGGAAGTTGTTGTTCAGTGGCTAAGTCTGACTAATTGGAACACAAGTTAAGTGATACCATATCAATACATCCCAGAGACAAGTGATGTATAGATTAAGAAGGATGAATAAGTGGGGAAGGTGGGGTGGTTTAGTTGCTAAGTCGTGTCCCACTCTTTCAACGCCATGGGGTTTAGCCCGCCAGGCTCCTCTGTCCATGGGATTCTGTAAGCAAGAATACTGGAGTGGGTTGCCATTTCCTTCTCCATATGTGTTGGTTCTTAAAGCTTTAATTCAGAGATAGTATGCCACTTGTACTCTCATTTCAGTGGACAAAACAAGTGAAAATGGCCAAACCTCTTGATAGTGGGATGGGGAAATATAGGGTAGAAAATAATATGGTGGAGTCATAATCTACCACAGTCTTTGGCTGATAAATAATTTCAGGTTTTTAGAGATAGATATGTGACTTTTATCTGCTGTCTGTATGTAGAAAAATAGTATTTTAGGTCTCAAGTGGCATGGTGCCAAGGCTGTTACAGGAATAGTTTTCTTCTTCGGTTGATGGTGAGGGAAAAGAATAATGTGGATTTTAAAACCTTGTATTGAATTTTGGTTATCTTTGCTAATGAAGAATGGTATCCCTATATTCAAAGTAACTAGTAATAAGAAAATAATTGTCACTTGACTTTGGAATATATTATTCTTTTCCTTTCTTGATTTTGCTTCTGAATTTGTCTTCCTCCCTTCTTTTTCAGCCTGCTAGATATCAAATAATAGTAATCTAACATTCAAGTGCTTATTGCTTGCCAGATATTGTTCTGAGCACTCTGTATGTATTTACTCATTTAATTCTCAACTCAGTGAGGGAGGTAGTATTAACCCATTTTACAGATGAGAAATTGAGTTGGAGCTTAAATAACTTGTCCAAAGGCACACAGTAAGTGGCAGCATTGGGAACCAATTGTAAAAGCCAATGAATTATCCATTTTCTGTAGTTGAGTAGAGAATTTTTTGTTGTATTGAATATATCTTGAAACAAAGGAGGCCATTGACTAGTATTTAAAAATTGTCATAGTTATTCATTTGATCTGTATTACAAAGTACTTTGCCTCTCTAGTAAAACATAAAGAGAATAAGGGGCTTAGAGTTAGTAGTAGTGATATAGTCAACCAGGGGATAAAAGTTTGTAATAGATGACTTATGCCTGGATAACTGGAGAATACCATCTAACTTATCATCTCTACAAAGTTGGCCACTTTGGTTGATGTGAGGAAAACTGGATCTTCTGTACTCAGTGAGATCTATTCTCTTTTTCCTTTTAGCACTGAACCTACCAGATGTATTTGGGTTGGTAGTCCTCCCATTGGAGCTGAAACTGCGGATCTTCCGACTTTTGGATGTTCGTTCTGTTCTGTCCCTGTCTGCAGTTTGTCGTGACCTCTATATTACTTCAAATGATCAACTTCTGTGGAGGTGTTTGTATCTGCGAGATTTTCGAGGTGATTTCCATGATGGCATGTTAACAAGAAAAGTGTTCTTTGTTACCGAGGTCTTAATTACTCAGCTGGCCAGAAGTTTTAAGTCGTGGGCTTTTTTTAAAGAGAAGGAAATAGTCATAGCATAGCCTTATTATAAAGAGATTCTAAGCCTCATGTACCACTGCCTGTGCCGCCAAAGCTCTCCCCATTCATGTTTGTGTTCTCTGCAAGTACAAACAGTCTTTTAGACCAAGTAGATTCTCCTAGTATAGAAAATTAAGGTAAGACAGGTTTAATGCTGGATGAATGAAGCATTTTAAAATCCTTATGTTTTCTGTTTTCTTTGTAGATGGTAGTGTCAGAGGTCGAGACACAGATTGGAAAGAAGTAGGTATTTGTAAATACCAAGGCTGATGTCTGTTGCATGGAAATAACTAGTGAATTAACATGTTAGGGGCATATTTTCCACTTTTATTATAATACAATCTGTTTTGAGTCTATTACTAATTTTTAGTAAATGAAAATGTTTTCAACTTTTACCTTAGACTTTGTCCTTAGTGTCTTGTAATTACACAGGAAAAAAATCTTAGCATGATGACTGTTTTCACCTTTACTTAATATAGTCTCCCTGTTTGTAGTAAAAACAAAACAAAACTGAGTTGTTTTTGTGCTGTAGTAGTCTTCAGCTGTTCGACTAGTTAGAATAGTAAGTTATGAAAAAAATAAGTTATATTGTTTTATTTGCAGATAGGAATATGTTCCACCCTCTGAAATAGTCATCTATTTTGTTATTTAAATTGAGGTCTATTAGGGACATAATTTAGGTGAGAAAGTGAACTTAAGTACTGACCACTCCTGTCCTTCCCTGCCAATACCGTAACTTTTTATATTCTATGGCATGATATTTTCAACAAATATTTAAATTTTCCATTTTCAGGAAAGGCTGACGTGAAATTCATATCAGCTTGAGAGTGCTAGATTGCAGTCTTGAGAGTACATGTCACTCATTTATCCCTTCTCTGGATGTGTTGTTACTCCAGATTGGCACAATTGCTGAGTTGCAGTGTGGTTAAAGACTAGAGTTCCTTTGGCATTGTGTTCACAGCTACTACCTTATTCATGCAGGTAGAAACTGGTAGAAGTTCCCTTCAGTGCACTAGCTTCTTTGTCTGCCTCCATACTGTGGGAAAAGAAAAGTATATATACTGGAACTTTGGGGAAGTGTCCAACTCACTCATTATGTCTTGTTCTTATCTGTCTGCAGCTGTACAAGAAGAGGTACAAACAAAGAAAAGAAGCCCAGAGAGGGCGGCATGTGATGTTCTTGCCATCATCACCCCACCCCATTCCATTCTACCCCAACCCCTTGCACCCCAGGCCTTTCCCTCCCAGTTCTCTGCTCCCTCCAGGAATTATCGGTGGTGAATATGATCAAAGACTAACCCTTCCCTATGTTGGGGACCCAATCAATTCACTCATCCCCGGGCCTGGGGAGACACCCAGCCAGTTCCCTCCACTCAGACCACGTTTTGACCCAATGGGCCCACTTCCAGGTCCTAACCCCATCTTGCCAGGGCGAGGTGGCCCCAGTGACAGATTTCCCCCAAGACCCAGCAGGGGTTGGCCAACTGACAGCCGGCTACCATTCATGTGACTGATTTGTTACCTTACTCTGGAGCTTGTTTTGGTTTTGTTTCTTTAAAACTACAGATGTCATCTTGCTGGGGTGCTACCTCTGTTGTTTTCTGATTGCGATGGTGGGACATGGACTTACAGAAACCTTTTATAGACATATTAGGTTGGTGCAAACATAATTGCGGTTTCGGACCATGAATTTTAAATCATTATAACTAGGCTCAAACACATCTTATCAAAATAGGACCATTACAATCAACAAATTTTTGCAGATGAGAAGTCCTGTAGCATAAAAACCCATGCTTCAGGATTCAATGAACTCTTGGAAACCATTTTCTGCCACTTGTTGGTTGTAGAAGCATTTCCCCTGTTGAAAGTTGTTTAGATGCTTGAAGGAAGTGGTGGTTGGCAAGAAGTCAGGTGAACGTGGCAGATGAGGCAAAACTTCATAGCCCAATTCCTTCAACTTTTGAAGTGTTGGTTGTGCTACATGTGGTCAGATGTTGTCACAGAGAATTGGGCCCATGCTGTTGACCAGTACCAGCTGCAGGTGTTGCAGTTTTCAGTACATCTCATTGACTTGCTGAGCATACATCTCAGATGTAATGGTTTCGTCAGGATTCAGAAATTTGGTAGTGGATCAAATGGGCAGCAGACCACCTAACAGCGACCATGATCATTGTTTTGGTTCAAGTTTGGCTTTGAGAAGTGCTTTGGAGCTTCTTCTCGGTCCAGCCACTGAGCTAGTTGTCGCCAGTTGCTGTGTAAAATACACTGCTCATCACATCACAGTCTGATCAAGAAATGGTTTGTTGTTGCTACAATAAGAGAAGATGACACTTCAAAATGGCGATGTTTTTGATTTTTGGTCAGCTCATGAGGCACCCACTTATCGAGCTTTTTCACCTTTCCAGTTTGTTTCAAATGCTGAATGACCATAGAATGGTTGACGTTGAGTTCTTCAGCAACTTCTCCTGTAGTTGTAGGACGATGAGCTTCAATGATCGTCTCAGTTGGTCATTGTCAGCATCCCATGACTGGCCACTGTGCTGCTCATCTTCTGGGCTCTCGTCTCCTTTGCAGAACTTCTTGAGCCACCAGCGCACTATGTTAGCAGTTCCTAGGCCAAATGTGTTGTCGATGTTGCAAGTTGTTCTTGCTGCTTGATGACCCATTTTCGACCCATCTTGAATAAGAAAATCACTCAAATTAGCTTTTCATCTAACATCATTTCCCTAGTCTTAAAATGTAAAATAAGCAAGGCATTAGCAAAAAAACATAAAGCAAGAAATGCACATTAAAATGATATACTACATAACTACATTTATTTAAGAATATTCCAATATCAAACAGCAATGTTAAACAATGCAAAACTGTAATTACTTTTGCACCAACCTAATTGTTAAAGCTCCAGGGGTGGTATGGCTCACAGGTTACTTTCTCGACAGGGTTGGCCTTGGGAATATGGTTCCTGACATCCCCTCTCTCAGTTACCATCTAGAATGAAGGTTACACATTGATAATGTTCCACACCAGAATAAAATATTAAGTGTAAATTACATGGCAGTCTTGACTTTTATTACAGAAAGATATGTAATATTACAATATTACTTGGACATTTGAAAATGATCAGAGAAGCTATTCATTGTCATCAGATTGTTGCAGGGGATTATTTTTGTTTTGTGGTGGCACCCTTTCTTCACGTGAAATCATTTGCAGAAGCCTGATTTATGGAATGAACACAAGCGGAGCCAGTTTGGTTGGACTGGATGTGAGGTGAATGGGCCCCCGCCAGATCAGTCCCCCTCCCCCATCCCTGCAGCTGCTCCTGAGGCTCTGTGCCGAAACTTTTGGGCTCCAGACTCTGCTTTTTGGCCACCATTGGGTTGTTAGGACTCCTGTTTCTGGCTTCTTCTGGAGTGGAGTTTTGGTTCTTTTTCCTTGTGTTTTGAATACTTGGCGCCTAAGCTGTAAGTAGACAGTGTTTCTAACAACAAAGTACAGTGCTTTGAGTGCTGCTCAGGTACTTGTTCTGCAAAGAAAGCCTCATCATTTGTAGAATATTTTGCTTTTAAGACTTAAAGTACACAAAATTCAAGTTTTATTTTGCCTACAACAAGAAAAAGGTCAAACACAAATAGCATACAAACAACTATAGAAACATGCTACAGTGACAGATTAAAGTCTGAATCACAAAACAGGAATAAAACACTGTTAGTATCTGCAGAAAATAGGAATATTGCCAACGTCTTCCTGCTTTTTAAAAAATTGGTTTTGCATATAGGAAATGGCTTGGAATGCTATGTGCTGTAAGAATGTCAGAGTCCCATGTACACGTGAATTTTTTTTTTTTGCTACACGTGTGTACTGTCTTTTTCCCATCACAGTGAAGAAAGTTCAGCCAATAATATGATTTTCCAGAGGCCATGTCACCTTTAGTAGCTTAATATACAGGTAAAGGATTAGGGCTGTTGACATTTTCTTTTTCCTGTGGTATTTTGTAATATCTGAGCTATAGAATAGCTTTTAACAAAGTGTCCACCAGAGGCCATATGGCTTTAATTGGGTCTAGGTTGAAAGAGTCACCCTGAAACTTTGATGGGTCCAAAACTGGTTCTCCAGCGCACGTCTTCATGGCCTTATAACGTTAGGATGCGCTGTGTGTGGTATGTGTGTGCATTGTTTGGATGTGCTGTGTGTGTGCGTGCGTGCGTGTATAGTGGGGATGGAAGGACATAGTGATAACCAGAAGCACCGTGTACTATAAAACAGGAGTTCTCAAAATGCGGTCCTTTTGAAGTGGAGTGGTCCTGGAGAGGTTCGTGAGCAGGGCTGGTGTCCCGAGGAAACAGATGCTACTTCCCAACCTTATCTCAGTCTTACTAGCCCACGGGACAGATCCCTGTCAGTTTAGGATACCAGCCGGGTGTCACACACCTCAATTTGCAGTCCTCTCATAATAGTTTGTTCTGAGTTCTTAAAACCACCATCAAAGCTTTTCCTCTTAACTAGCTCATAGTTAGAAGCTTATAAAATCCACTTTCTTCTCATTAAACTGAGACTGTTAAGCTGTATGTGTTGCTGGTGAATGATGGGAATGAAGTCATGGTGTGGTTGTAGCCTGTTTGCTGCATGACTTTCTGATTTCACTGTGATGTGTTGTGATGGATGAGCGCCGTGGTAGATGCAGCTCACATTGCTGGCTTGTAGCCTTAAGGACTTTCTCTGGCCCTCATTTTTCCCTTTATTTTTATTAACAGAAGCTTGCCACGCCCCCCATCCCCCCAACCCCCATTTATTAATGAAAGCTCTGGTTTGGCATGGTTGGAATCAAATCATGGCAGGTAGCCTCTCAACAATGTAGATTTTGTGATTCCTTAGGTACAAAAAACTGAATTCTGTCTTCTCTCTCACTGTAGCTTGCCTCTCCAATTCCTGAGATCACTGCTTAGCTTAATATCTCTGTGATTCTGACACTCCCCTTTGCTCTCTATACTTGGGACCCTGAACCCAGGTTTGTCTTTCTCCTACCCTGCCAAATTACAGAGCCCCGGGAGGAGCCAGGCAGGGTTAACACTCCTTTGGACAGCCTCCAGTTGACTGCAGAATATGTAGAGTGGATAAAACATGGAAGCATTAGTTAGGTCACATGACAAGGTTTCATCTTAATTAAATGGCCCTCTTCGGGATTCCCTAACAGGTTATAGCACTGGAAGTTTCCGCTGTCCCAGAGCAAACCAGGTGAAATGTTAATTAAGAGGGAAGGAGATGTTAATTTGCTTCTGCTCTAGACTCAACAAAAGACCAGAGAGAGAAGATACTTAAATATGATAGGTTGGAAATTGAAATTACAAGTAGTGGGACCAATCAGTGGAGAAGGAAATGGCAACCTACTCCAGGACTCTTGCCTGGAAAATCCCATGGACGGAGCAGCCTGGTAGGCTACAGGCCATGGGGTCGCGAAGAGTCGAACCCGACTGAGCGACTTCACTTTCACTTTTCACTTTCATGCATTGGAGAAGGAAATGACAACCCACTCCAGTGTTCTTGCCTAGAGAATCCCAGGGACAGAGGAGCCTAGTGGGCTGCCGTCTATGGGGTCGCACAGGGTCAGACACGACTGAAGTGACTTAGCAGCAGCAGGACCAATCAGAATAGACATGATGAAAGATACTTAGGATTTTAAAGAATTTTCTCTCTCTCTTCTCTCGTACAACTGTAGAAGGAATGTTTAGATTGGTTTTTATGACACACTAAAATTTCAGAAAACTTTTTCTTCTTTTCCTCCTGGCAGTTGAGAGGGTTCTGAGCAGAATCTACGAGTCTCCTCTCTTGTGGCTGCATGTTTCATTCGTGGAAACACAAAGGAGCCTCTGTGCCCTTTCTGCATTGTGTTTGGTTAATGGGCTGGTTTGACTTGCTTATCGTGCAACCTTCCAGTTTTGTCTGCAAGCAAACCCAAAGTGCCACCTTCTATCAAAGTCTGCATGGTAGACTGAAACAGGATTTAATCTGTGACTGCCCTGGAGTCCAGGACAACTGTTGACACTTAGTGGGGATAATTAGTAACCAGTCCCCATGCTTGCTTGGATAAAGAAAACCACGCATATGCAAGTGCTCTCAGAGCTATTTAATCCTCCAGCATAATTGAGTTACAGCTTGTATCTGCAAGGCTGACTTCACAGGCTTACACTGTACCGTAACCTGCATCCTTTCACCCATTCTGAACACACAAGGGCAAATGAGCCACCGACCTGTTCTACGCAGTTGAACATGAAGCACGGAGCTGGGGGGGCGGGATGGCCAGAGTTGGGCTCTGCTGTGTACTGGGTGCTCTGGAGGGACCCCCGGGTCCTGGGTCTGGAGAAGCTGGACAAGCTTTGGTATTGTCCTGGTCTGCTCACCACGCCTCCTGACTGATGCTGACAGTGGCACTGCGTCCCTTCTGCTCCCAGCTGTGGAGGCCCTGCAGTCAATTCACCTGTGGCTTGTTCCCGTGGACCACAGGTTTTCTTCAGCTTCTTATCTCATTAATCTCTCTATTGGTTTAATTCTTTTCCTGGGCAAGTGACTTCCTCACATTGATAGTCTCAGAAAAAACAAACTTTTTCTTTACTTTTAACACTTGGTTTGCATTTTGTTGATTGCATAGTTTTCTAGAAGGGCCAGTCTAACACACGTCCTGCACACCGACCGTTTGCTGACGGCGGGTGCTGTGCCGTGCCCACACAGCTTGTTCAAGAGCTGCCGGCACCAGCTTGCTTTCCTCTCAAGCTCCTTTCATTGCAAATTTAGATGAGAACTTCCAGAAGGTCACTGATGTTCAGGCTCATGGGATTTACTACTGTGTTTGTTACCATGGGTGTGAAGGCCTATCACCCTGAAATTCTGGAAAGGTAGAACTAACTGCCCCATCAGCAGGAACTGAACCAGGGGACAGAGGGGGTGTGACAAAGAGGACAGAGGATGAATGGAAGAGAAAGGACATGTAGATTCCAGTATCCCTCGAAAGCTGATGTGACAATTAAGTGACAGTGCCCTTTAATCAGGCTGTTAGGAGGAAAATCTGGAAGAAGGTATTTTCTGCAGCTGGTGGAGGTGTCCAGTGGGGCTGCATTTTAAACTCTCTATTCACTGTGCTACATGTCAGCACAAACCAAATGGATCTTTGTCCTGGTTCGGCCTCACCGAGTCAGTGTGGATAGGAAATGCTGGCTTTTCTTTGGATCAGAGTTGTGAAACCAAGCAAAAACGAACAAACATGACCTTTCAGAATCTCTCCAGAGTGACTCTTCTGCCCCTTTCATTTTGTTCTTTCTCATTTAAAAATATCACAATTATTAAAGGTTAAATGTTTGGAGGGAACATGTGCTAGTTTACATGAGAAACCAGTCCATTTTGGGGACTAACTGTCACAAAGGACCATACCTGGTCTTTGCATTCACACACAGACCAATGGGAGAATTTGTTTCAATGTGTTGGTTATAACCTTGTCTCATTTTCTGGAGCTGTCTGGGCATGGCTATAAAAACAAGGATGCCTAGCCTGAGAAGTGAGTGTGTGCAACTGTACTGGAATATCTGGTGTTTGAATGTTCCGATGTTCTCAGGGAGGGGGACAGAATACAGGAAAAGTGGGACAACGTAAGCCATGTCACCATTGTTTATGGGGCCACCCTGGGTGTGGTGCTTCCACCCCAGCACCATTCGTGCAGCAGAGTTCCCACACAGCTCAGGGCAGGTCTGACTTCAAGGGGCATTCCAAACACTTAGCGAGGTTGACAGAGACAGGTTCAAGGCCTGATGAGCAGAAGTTCTGACTCCTCTAGCCTTAAATGAAGTGACTTATGCCCTTGGCCATGTCCTATGCTTTGAGGAAGCTTGTCTAGCCTGTCACCACTTCGTTGTGTATTTTGGGCTGTGTTTTATTGCTAAATGAGAATTGGGTGAGATTGGTTTCTTCTTCCTGTCTTATTTCCAGAGTGGGAGAGCAATGACTGCCTCCTGTATTTCCTGTCTTCTTAATCTCCTAAAACACATGGCTCCGTGGTGTTACACCTGCCCGACAAGTTCTCTGCATTCTTTTATTCAGAGTGCAGCTCCAGGCCAAGGACGCTTTCATTTTCACCTCCCTCTCTCCCTTCCCTGTGAGCAGTAAGGGGAAGACGTGTCTCAAGTTGCAAGTGAAAGTGAAAGTTGCTCAGTAATGTCCAGCTCTTTGCAACCCCATGGAATTTTCCAGGCCAGAATACTGGAGTGGGTGGCCTTTCCCTTCTCCAGGGGATCGTCCCAACCCAGGGATTGAACCCAGGTCTCCCACATTGCAGGTGGATTCTTTACCAATTGAGCTATCAGGGAAGCCCCTCAAGTTGCTAAGTGGGATGTAAGGGGACAGCGTGGCTATGTTCTAATACCCTCAGTGCTTTCTAGAACCAGGAGGCTGGTTCTGGCACCAACGATGTTTCTAGCACCAGGTGCTTGGTGATCAGGACACCCCCCCCCCCCCGCAACCCCTGCCCCTCCCCAGAAGAGTCTGATGCAGGAGAAAGAGCATTGGGAAGAGAGTCAGGGCTACATTTTCCAGCTCTGCAGTTAACTTTTTTAGTCAAGTAAGTGTGGCTTAAACAAAGTTAAAGCTAATTTCTTTACTACAGGACTTCCAAGAGCCTGTGATATAGGTACTATCGAGCTCAGAAAGCAAACCCAAAACAGTATCTCCTAAGGACATTTGACCAGGGAGCCCTTGTGTAACTGAGTAACCTACCAGTGCCTTGCTGCTCAGTCTGAAGCACCAAGCTAGAAGTTACTGTCATCACACTTTCTGATCCTGTGTCATCTGCCTGCTCACCATCTCTGGTTCCTTGTGTGTCCTTGAGGGGGAAACAGCATTCCTGGTGGGAATTCAGAGAGACTGAACGGTGGTGTAACACAGAATGGGCGGAGGGGCCTTGACTAGTTGAGGACATCTCCCTCTGGGAACTAGTCGTGATTCCTAAAAGAACCCGGGGTCTGCTCTTGGCTGTCCAACTTAGGATAGCATGCTGGCTGTGAGTGGTCTTGCAGAGCCTCCCCTCTGTTTCTGTTGTGTTCTGAAAGGCTCATATTGTCGCATGGTCTGAATTCATTCTGTGGTACTCAAGATCCACTGGTGGCGGGTGTGATGGGGCCTGGGCCTGCCTGGGCTGCAGGCCCGTCTCTTGAGCTTGGATGGAACAGATAAGGGTAGGTGCTAAGTTCCCTTGGCTAGGCTTTTCTCCTTTTGTTTGTAGAACACTGTCAAAAGGTTATTGCCTCCTACATTGCTGAGGTCTGACTTCAGCATCTGCATTTGATGGAGATGGGGGCAAGGCTCAGAGGGGGCCCTTCCCAAAGGCAAGCGAAACACTAACAAGCAATGTCAAAACCAGTCACACTGATGTCTCACTTGGTTATCTGAGGCAGGGGAGCAAGCATCTGGGCAGGAAGGTGGATGTGACACCCATCTTTAAGGCCCATTTTGAGGAATCTGGAGGCTCTCAAACGCCCACCGCTTGGCTGGATGATGCTGGAACGCCACGGCAAAAGGAAATGGGAACACATGGACTCAGTTCCTGGATCAAAGGCATTTGGAAAGGATATTCTCAGGCCCTCCATTCTGTTCCCAGCAGGAACCAAGGCTGAGACGGAGGGTGGGGCAGGAGAGGCCGGACCAGGGTTAGTCAGAGAACAGGCTGGCGAAAGACTTCCTCAGGTTGCGGATGGTCTCGGCCTTGGCCTCGTCTTCACTGGGGGTCCCGCGCTGGGAGGTGTCAGATGTGCTGAGGCTGTTAGTCAGGGACTGGGATTTGCTGAAACAGAAAGCCAAAGGAAGTTGGGGGTTACATGGCTGGACTCCCCAGGAAATGAGTCCTGGGGCTTGTCTGGGGGCCGGCTGGATGAACCCCATCACCCCGAGGATACTGAGCCCCGCAGCCAGGCATCCCCACACTTATACCACACACACAGTTAACCCGCCAGGTGGCTCCTGGGAGCCTCCTCTTTTAGGTGCAGGAATTGGGGCTCACAGCAAGGAACAAGGGGGCATCCAAGGCTCAAACTCTCCCCACAACAACAGGCCGCTCAGTCGGCAGGCACAAGTGGAGAGCAGCTCGTGCACTCTCCGGCCTCGGCGCACAGGCCCGCTTAGCAGACTCACAGGTGTGGCGCCGACAGGTGGGCTTGCTCCCCCTAGGCTTTCCAGCACCAGCTTGGGGGTCAGAGGGTCTGTGTTCCGGGCCCGTCCTGCCATCTGCTCCTCCAGCCGTGGGCAGGAAAGGCCCTGAGCGGGGCCTCCTTCCCTCGTCTGTGGGACGGAGGGTCGGTCCAGCGCACCCTCAGGCCTCGGGCAGCTCCGACACCATGGGCTTCCACTCCAAGTCTGCCCGAAGCTCTCATGGCCAATTCCAGTGGTGCTTTGGAATCCTCACAGTGCCTACTATCTGAAAGGCGGCGTTTGACTCTTTGTGCCAGCCTGATGCCAGGTGACAGGGCTCCAGACATGAATGAGATTCAGGCCCTGCCCTCAAGGGGCTCACAGTCTAGTGGGGGTGAAAGACATAGGAAGAGATGCATGCAGGCTCTTTTCATCACATTAAATAACTGAAATCTTCTTCAGAGCAGGGCTATCTTTTACCCCTTGCTTTTTCCACCCAGGGTGTTATTCAAGACTAGTTCAGAGTAGGCATTTGGTAAGGACCTGCTGACCTGAACTGAACTAAATCATACTTTACAGCATCAACCAGGAGATTCAAGTGTTGTTAGCTAGATTACTGGGCTTCCCTGATGGGTCAGACAATAAAGAATCTGCCTGCAATGCAGGAGACTCAAGTTTGCTCCCTGGTCAGGAAGATTCATTGGAGGAAGGCATAGCAACCCACTCCAGTATTCTTGCCTGGAGAATTCCATGGACACAGGAGCCTGGGGGGCTACAGTTCATGGGATTCCAAAGAGTCAGACACGACTAAGTGACTAACACACACACACAGCTAGGTTACTACAAGATTAGTGCTCAAACCTGGCTTAAGTTCCAGAGCCCTTGTCTGTCCTGTGATTAGCTGGGCTGCATCTTTTCACATGTGAGAGGCAGCCACAGATACACACATATGGAGCCAGCAGTGTTCTGAGCACCAACTGTGCAAACACTCATTTTAATTCTTATAATAGCCCTGTGGGGTAAACACTATTGTCCCAATTTTGCATGTGAAGAAGTTTAGGCACAGAGAGGTTAAGTAACTTTTTTCTGAGGTCAGGCAGCTTTTAAGTGGCAGACTTCAAACTGAACCCAAAGTGGGTCTGACTAGAGTCTATGCTGTCAACCTCTATGCCTACTGCTACAGGACCACTTGGTAATATTACTAAGCTAAAAATGCATTTATCCTTTGACCCAACAATACCATTTCAGGTATTTTCTATACAGTTGATCCTGCACATATAAGAAAAAGCATGTTTTCAAGGCTATTCACTGCTGCCTTCTTTGTAAGAGAAAACCAAATTTCCACTTACAGTGGATTAGTTAGATAAATTATAGTATAATTATACAGTGGAATAATTATACAGCTGTGAAAAGGAGAAAATGTCAATGAACTGCGTGGAAGAGCTCTAGAATGTATTACTAAATCTAAAAGCAAGAAGCGAATAGTGTGGATAGTGAACACTGCTGATTATGTAAATAAGTGGGAGGAGGGAACCAGAACATATATTTCCATATATGCATAAGGAAATACTGGAGGAACACACTAGAACTAACAAAAGTGGTTACCTCTGAGGAGCAGGGGGCAGGAAAGCATTGGATGAGAATGAGGTAAGGGTTTTCAATAAAAACATCAATATCTTTTAGATCTTTGAACTAGATGAATATATTAACTCTTCTGAAAAATTATGGTTAGCTTGTTTGGAGTTGAAGGAAAGGAAAAACTTTCCAAAGAAAATATATTTTGGATCTCTTTCTCTGACCTCAAACCAAGAGACAGGCTTGAGAGGAAATGAGAGAACAGATGTGTGCCCGGGGATGGAACCTTCCCTTCCGCCCCAGTCATCTAGCCTTTCACAGGGTGACTTTGCAGGTCCTTGTATCAAGAGTCTATTTCTGGGACTTTTCTGGTGTCCAGTGGTTAAGAATCCGTCCTGCAATGCAGGAGACATGGGTTTGATCCCTGGTCAGGGAACTAAGATCCCACATGCCGAGGAGCAACTTAAGCCTGTGCGCCACAACTACTGAGCCTGCAGGACACAAGAAAGATCCCACACGCTGCAACTGAGACCCAACACGGCCTGACAAATAAATAAGGTTTTAAAAAGGAGTCTATTTTCCCACCTTTTTAATCTGGGCTTGACCATGTGACTTGTTTTTATCAAAAGCCTATGATGGGATGAAATGACATCATGCAACTTCTAAGCCTGGACCTTTAGAGGCCTCGAAGCTTCTACTTTTGCCCTTTGAAATGTAATTCTACCACATGAGGAAGCTGGGTCCAGCCTGCTGGAGGATGAGGCCCAGGAGAGAGAGAGAGGCTTGGCTGACAGGTGACACCAACAACCAGATGTGTGCAGGAAGCCCTCTTGGACTGTCGGTCATAGGTAAGTTGCTGGATAACTACAGCCCTATGAGCAATCCCAGGAGAGCAGGGTTGCTAGATTTTAGTAAGCAAGCATACACGACACCCAGTTAAGTTTGAAATTGAGATTAAAAAAATACTTTTTGAGTATAAGTCTAACCTGTGCAATATTTGGCTTCCCTGGTGGCCCAGACAGTAAAGAATTCACCAGCAATGCGGGAGATCTGGGTTTGATCCCTGGGTTGGGAAGATCCCCTGGAGGAGGGCATGGCAACCCACTCCAGTATTCTTGCCTAGAGAATCCCATGAACAGAGGAGCCAGGCGGGCTACAGTCCATGTGGTCGCAAAGAGTCGGACATGACTGAGCGACTAAGCATGTGCAATATTTAAGGGTATACACTCCAAATTATTCATTGCTGAAATTAAAATCTAATTGGGCATCCTGCATTTTATCTGGTAACTCTCCAGGAGAGACCATTGGGAGATCCTCCCAGCTGAACCAAACTCAGTACAAGTGACTAAATGAAAAAAAACTATGAACAAAGAAAATGGTTGCTTTCTTAAGCCACTAAGTTTCAGGGTGGTTTGTTATGCAGCAGGAAGCAACTGATGCAGGTATACATGGAGGATCACAGTGGGGCCTAACCTATGCTCTGGCCTTGCTAGGTCCTACCTGCCACCCAGGTTCCATCCTCTAGGCCTCCTTTTACCCATTTAAAGTTGGGGTGAGGCCTTGGTGGGTCTTGCTCTGAGTCCCTGACCCTGAGCCAGCCCAGCTCTGCCCACACCCCAAGTCCACTCTCAGACCTCCCGGGTCCCACAGCACTTACTTGAGATGGGGATGGGGTGATGCTAGCTTCTTCGCCTCTTCGCCCTGTTGGGAGGTGCTGCGGCCCTGCACGGGGGGCCGCGGCTGCGAGGTAAGGGTTGCGCTCGGCTTGGGGGCCTGGTTTGGAGAGCTGCCTCCAGATGCACGGGAGAGCTGGGGAGACCCTGGTGATCTCTGCTGTGGTGATCCAGACTGAGGGCTCAGGGGCTGCTGGCCTTGTGGGGAGAGCCTCTGCTGGGAGGGGCTCCCAGATCTTGGGGGTTGAGGAGACTGAACTGGGCGAGGGCCCCCTGCAGGGAGAAAAAATGATTCTGTTCAAATTCTTTTAGGATAAATAAGGCTGTGCACAAGTGTCACTTCGAGGATGTTCATTACAGGGTTCTCCCTACCAGTGAAAAACTGAAAACAATACAAATACACAACAATAGGGGAACTGACTGGAACATTAAGATACATTCATGTAATGGAATGTGCTATGGTCATCATGTATGATGTGGCAGAACAATATTAAATGACATGGGATGTTGTTGATAATATAAGCTAAATATGAATATATACTGCTAGACAGAAAGCAGCTTATAAAACAGTATTTGTGGGTTAATTTCATTTTGGCATGTATAAAAATACATGCCTGAGGCAAAGGAAGGAGTCCTTGCCCTGTCCAAGGGAACAGGCTATGCATGCTAAGTCACTTCAGTCGTGTCTGACTCTGTGACCCCGTGGACTGCAGCCCCCCAGGCTCCTCTGTCCATGGGATTCTCCAGGCAAGAGTACTGGAGTGGGTTGTCATGCCCTCCTCCAGGCGATCTTCTTGACTCAGGGATGGAAGCCACATCTCTTACTTCTTTATTGGAAGGTGGGCTTGTTATCACTAGCGCCATCTGGGGAGCCGCTATTATAAGGGAACTGCTATTACTAGGTGTCAGTGGTATTTGCTACATTGTTGCCCACTGTTTCTAGAGCTCCTACTCTGTCACAGGAGCTGGAAATCTGGATTTTATGTAAAAGCTTCTCATTTTTAAATGTTGGTTTGCTTTTTTTGGTTTGTTAAACTCACCATAGGTCCAAAAAAACATGTTTTCTACTTTTATCTTAAATTTCCCCTTTGCCCAACACTCTGCCCATCAAGGCTGATTAATATCTTAGAAAATCTGGACTCTTATTCATTCATTTATTAACTATTCATTTAGTCCCTATTATACAGATGGGATTCATCAAGAGACTAGTTATTTTCTTTCAGCTTCTTGGCAAAGCAAAAAAAAAAAAAAATACTTTTTGTTTGAGCACAGAAAAAAGTTAACTTATATATAGATAGTATTTGCTTAAGCACAGGATCAGTGCTAAAAGATGATGAGGTTCCTTAAAAGAGAATTTCACTTTCACTGAGTTGAAAATGAGTAGTGAGTTCAAAAAACAAGTTAATAATGTGTTCTTGTTAATTTGGGAAATCAAGGAAAGCATTGTGTTTTAATTAGCCTTGTTATTTTTACTCTAAATGTTAATTCAATGAGCATCTTCTTTAATTATCCTAATTGGTTTTTAATTGATTGTTTTTCAACTCACTAAAAGTATGTTTAGCTTCCTGTCCCTTAAAATAATATCTCTTTATTTATCCAGTGTGTCTCTACTCTGAGCCGGAGAGGAAACAAGAATACAGTAGCTCTCTGTTTTAGAAGTGCTCTGTGCAAATGTGGTTGAAAAAGTAAGTCTTGGGGCAGAGTGGGAAAGGAGAGGGTAGGGCAGAGACACAGCCAGAGCCTGGCAGGGTGATGAATAAGTTGTTTTTGAACATTCTATAATCAAAGAGTTATCACCTGGCAGGAGGGCAGTGGGGCTGCAGTAGTTGTAAGTATTCTTAATGATGACACTCATTAAGAACAACATGTATATTATCACTGCGGTGTTGTTTGTTGTTGTTTAGTCGCTAAGTTGTGGTCAACTCTTTGTGACCCTCATGGACTGCAGCCCACCAGGCTCCTCTGTCCATGGGATTTTCCCAGGCAAGAGTCCTGGAGTGGATTGCCATTTCCTTCTCCAGGGGATCTTCCTGACCCAGGGATTGAACTTGTGTTTCCTGTATTGACAGTTGGATTCTTTACCACTGAGTCAGCAGGGAAGCTTAGTAAGACACAATTATTAATAGTGAGTTTTAAAAGATATAAGAGTTTATTCTGGCAGTGTCTCTTTCTATCAGCATAACTGCTTTCCTTACAGAAAAATCCAGTAAGAATAAGTTCTTGGCATCCTTGCTGGCCTCAAAGGTTTTGATAATCCCTTTTGTCTCCTTTTGAGATCCCTATCCTGTTTCTCCATCTACTTGACATCTCTCTGGACCCAGATTTTCTTTTTTTTGGCATACTGTGCGGCGTGTGGGATCTTGGTCCCACTGCACTCCCTGAGCTGGAAGCGCAGAGCCCTAACCTCTGGATTGCCAAGGAAGTCTCGAATAGTGAGCTTTTAACAGTCAAAGTCCCTGCTGGCTCAGCCAGTAAAGAATCTGCCTGCAATGCAAGAGACCTGGGTTTGACCCTTGAGCTAGGGAAGATCCCCTGGAGGAGGGAGTGGCAACCCCTTCCGGTATGCTTGCCTGGAGAATTCCATGGACGGAGCAGCCCAGTGGGTTACAGTCCATGGGGTCCCAAAGAGTCGGACACGACTGAGTGGTGGTTATCAGCAGTAAATTACTAGCACCTACTAAGCACTACCTCCACGCTGGGACACCCTGCTATTTACAACTGCTTCTCTTGCATTATCTCACAGGCAGGTCCCCATTACTAAACAGGCACATGTCATCTCCTCCTTCCTCACTGTGGAATCTGAGCCTCTGAGAAGTGAGGTAACTTGCCTAAGTCTGCCAGAGGACTGAGACATTGTAAGTAGATTCAAACGTGTGCATCTGCCTGAAGAAGAACTCAGTGTTCACTGGTACACAGTTGTGTCAGTCCTGCAATTTCCCTTTTCTTAAACGCTTTCTGCTTTTCCAGGAAGACACACAGACAAGAAAGATGAATGAATGTTTTATATAAGACCTGTGGAAGAGGAAGCTGTTTGCTGCCCAAGGCTGATTTTCTCAAGAAGAAATGAATCTATTACTTTGATAAAACCACCTGGGAAGGTCACAGTGTGATGGTAGTACTTTCTTTCTGATGGGTCTTAAAGCAGATTCTTAAAAGACCACCGTGAAAATGCCTGGCCTGGCATCTTGGGGTGAAGCTGTCCCAAGGCCCCAAGCTGGCCATGAGGGTGCCTGGAAGGTTCTGACATCGAGAGAGGACATGGGTGACTTTTGCCCCAGGCCTGAGCGTGAGAACACACGAGCAGCTGGCAGCCCGAGAGAAGGGGTTAGTTACCGCCACAATCTCCTTTCATCGTGTCATCAACAGTTCATCCATTCTCTGATAAATGGTGGCATTTACTTAGTAACACTGGGATATTTTTGAGGAATGATTCGAATTGACAAGGTTCTATATAATGTTCCATTTTTCTTTCTCACTGTTGCTGGCTGGCTCATAAATCTATAATCAGGCACTGCCCGTGGCTAGGAAACAGGCACTTTCTAGAAGATCTGAAAGACCAGACTTGTAAACATGCCATTTTCTTGTGCTTCCTTGCACAAAGCCTTAACACCTACCTCTGTAAAAAGGAAATACCCCTGTTTTCATTGTTGACACGTTAGGAAGCTGAAAATGAGACCATAAATGGGAAAGCCCCTAGCACAGGACCTGGCACATACTAGGTACTTAATACATTTACTTTCTGTCTTTCTTCCCTCCTTTCCTGACTTTAAGGGAGTGACAACCTCATGGTCTCATTCATTCTGCACACAGAGCAAGGGAGTAGGTCTGGTGATTAAGTATTAACATGGAGCTTTCCAGAGTGCCTTTTGGGAAGTCATATGTGGATCCCTCACTGCATTCCGGCATCCTTGCTGGATGGCCTCTCTTGGCGGGTGGCTCGTCACGGGTCCTACCTTGTGTGGGTGGCCGTGGCTGGGGTTGTCCAAGTGGAGGACCCAGTTGGGCTTGCCCAGGGGATTTTGCTGGTTTAGTCTGAGGCGCCTAAAGCAGAAGAGAAAAGAAGACTGTTGTGCCCACTACAACCATTCACTTCCTGGGTGGGAGGGCAGGATTTGTAAACGTCTGTTTGTTATTGACGTGATCAGTTGCTTAGTTGTGTAATGGACTGTAGCCCGCCAGGCTCCTCTGTCTATGGGATTCTCCAGGCAAGAATATCGGAGTGGGTTGCCATTTCCTTCTCCATCGTTATTGAGGTGAAACTTACATAATGTGCACAACACAAATAGTTTCTACACGTGGAGACACCTGTGTAATCACCAAGAAGGTCAAGACAGAACATTTCCAGCAGAGAAAGCTGCCCTATGCCTTCTCCAAGCCAGTGGCCTTCTTGAGAACGAGCATCTTTCTGACATCTGTTATCACAGATTTGTTTTGAGGGGGAAAAGGGGGATCAGGTTTGGAGACTTGCTTTTCCAGAAAGCTGGAGATCTAGCAAGTTCTTTGGAGAATCATCTGGTAACCCATGGTGAGGATCAGGAAAGACAGGAGCTCTGTGTTAGCGTGAAGAGGTTGGAAGATGAGGGAATGGAAGACACAAGAGTCCCTGTTGACCGGTGCCCTGGGAGCCCACATGTGGGCATGAGTGTGCACACATGCGCACACACACACACACACACACACACACACACACACACCCTACTCACCACTCAGGCCCAGGATGGAGGGCACAGAGGGGACACCTGGTTTCCTATGTTAATAATCTCTGCCTGCAGACACTCAAAGCCCAGTTGAAACCACGTTTTTCTCTCCAGGGTGGCAGAGAGAGGAAGGGCCCCTCTGAGCCTCCCAAATGTACCTGTCAGGAGCAGGGGTACACACTCTCCCCTAAGCCCAGCCCCACCCACACCCCATTCCTTTTTCCCCAAGTCGGTTCCTCCCTGGGTGCATCTCCTCTGGATCAGGGCACCCACTCCCAGACAGCCAAGTATCTCACATGACTATACACTCTCTTACCCAAGGCCTCAGGGGTGAGGGTACCATGCCCCCTGGCATCAGGAGTTGGCTCATTTTGGAGATGACAAGGTCGGCCATCAGCTGTTTGTCCTCTTCCACGTGCTCCCCAATCAGGGGCATTGAGCTGTCCATCACCTGCAGGCGAGAAAGGAATCCCGAAGGAGCCTCGTGCCAGGGGAGCCTGGCAGCTGAGCAGCGCGTCCCAGGAGGGTGGGCTCAGACCTCAGGACAGAAGCGAACACTAGATGGCAGTGTTCTCCATGCAAATCCCCAGCCCAGCGCCTCAGCTGGAAATGACCCCTGTGGAGAGAGCCGATTTCCCGCAGTTCAGTCTAAATCAACTCCCTGGACTCTGTTCAATTCAGTCTGCATTTGCTGGGCCTCAGACATGCGACCAAGGGCGGGGAGCCTTTGCTGACCTTTTCTGCTCTTTTCTTTGGGGAGCCAGTCTCCGCCCCCTCCTTTCCCACCTCGGCCCCTACCCAGGATTGGAGCCAGCTTTCTGAACTTTGGCCCAAGGTCAAGGTTTTCCACAAAGCCGGAGGCAGTGAAGGAAGGGGCTCAATTATGATCAAAAAATGACATGGGTTGGAGTCAACTCAAGGTTCGGAGAGAAGAGGGAAGAGGCGAGGCCTGTTTTCCTGGACTCTAGCAGAATAAACTGCAGAGAAATTTCTTCCACAGGGAGAAGGCTGCTTCTCAAAGCAGGATACTTGTAATGGGAGGGGCCCTGAGAGATCAGGGGCTTCCCAGGTGGTGCTGGTGGTAAAGAACCTGTCTGCCAATGCAGGGGATGTAAGAGATGCGAGTTCAATGCCTGGGTGGGGAAGATCCCCTGGAGGAGAGCATGGCAACCCACTCCAGTATTCTTGCCTGGAGAATCCCATGGACAGAAGAGCCTGGTGGGTTACAGTCCATGGGGTCGCAAAGAGTCAGACACGACTGAAGTGACTTGGCATGCATGCACGCTGAGCGATCATATTTGTGCATCACTCTTTTGGCAGATGCAGAAACCAAGGCCCAGAGATGGGAAGGGGCTTGCCCAAAGTCAAGTAGGCCAATGATCCAGGTGGTTCCCTAGGCATGGACAGAGGCAGAAGGTCTTGGGTGGGTTGGTGGAGGGTGGGGCCTTGGTGGGCTCTCTCTCTCCTCCCTAGCTACAGGAAGCCAGCCTGTTCACCCAGTTCACTGCCTTCTAATTCTCTGTCTGGTTTCCCCTCTTCCCAAGGTCTGGACTCACTGGGTTCTGTCTCCCATCCAGGTCCTTGGGCAGGTCATTGACTGCCCACTCTCTACCTGGCTAGCCCTTCTCATCTGTCAGGAACGTCTAGCTGGTCCTTCCTCTGTGAAGCCTTCTTGGCACTCCTGCCATTCTTGCTTTGGTTGTCTCACCATCTCCTGTTTCTGTGTGTCTCCCCAACCAGACTGTGAGCCCCTGGCTTGGGGATGGGCCCTGTACACAGACAGGTGTGCCCTTGATCAGTACCTGCTGAATGGAAGGACAAGTCCTGCTCATATCGATAAGGATACTAGGAAGTGCTGTATTGCTTTGCTAGGTGCCAGGTGCTGTTCGAAGCACGGGGTGGAGATCTCACATAAATCTCAGAGTGTCTCTTTGAGATAGGTACCATACTGTTCTTATCACGATGGGAAAGCTGAGGGTCAAAGAAGTAGCAAGTTCCAGGACAGAGGACGAGCACTCCTTCTACATCTCAATGATCACTGACCAGCTCTCTGAGGTGAGAACTGGGACCAGGAGACCTGGCTTCCAGGCTCTGGTTCTCCTAGGGACTCGCGGTGTGATCTTGGCAGCTCACTTCTCGTCTGTGGGCCTGTTGTTTTCCTCAACTATAACCTGAGGGGGTTGGGCAGCTGCGAAGACCCCTGCATCTGGGACTTTTAGGAGCTCATTAATCTAAAGCACCTACTATAGTTGTTGCTGTTTAGTCACTAAGTCGTGTCCAATTCTTTGCGACCCCATGGACTGTAGCCTGCCGGGCTCCTCTGTCCGTGGGATTTGCCAAGCAAGAATATTCGAGTGGGAAGCCATTTCCTTCTCCAGGGGATCTTCCTGATCCAGGGATCATACCTGTCTCCTGCATTGCAGGTGGATTCTTTACCACTGAGCCACCAGGGAAGCCCTATTATGGTTGCGAAGCTGAAAAGCAAACTCAAGGATGTGAATGAAAGCTGAAAAGCAAACTCAAGGATGTGAATGCAGATTCTGTGAGCAAAGTGAGCTCCCTGTGGGTTGAGCCTGGGTCCTTGGCATCCTGGATCCCATTGCCCGGCACATGGACAGGCTCAGTCAATGTGGGCTGAGCTGAGTTGTAACTGTGGCATCTGAATGTACACAGCTCTGTCCTTTCTCTTCCTGACCCTGCCTACCCCCACTTTTTTTGTTCTGGTTCTGTTTCCTACATTCCCTACAGTGGAAAACAGCCGCCACAATGAACCTGAGGTCAGAGCATTTTGGAGTCCCCACGGTGGACACAGCTAAAGGAGGTGGATGCTCTGGTCTCCCCAGGGAAGCATTTTTCCAGTGAGCAATGTCATTCCCTGGACAAGTCATGGAGGACAAGTTCAAGGGTCTTTCCCCTGAGTATTTCACTGTGAGGATCTTCACAAAACATGTCCCACAAATTTTATGTTCTCACCACAGAGGTGGCTAAAGAAATCAGTATTTTTGGATCCTGTCTTTGCTTTTTAAAATACCTTTTATCTGCCTGGTAAAAAGCTCCCTATCTCCCTTGACCCCACTGTAAACCAAAAAGCAAGGGAAACGACTCTGTAATGTTTCTGAGGGAAAAGAAAGTCTGAAAAGCCACTGTTTCCTGCACCCCCCACCCTGAAACATTTTTGAGAAATTGTTTTCTTGTTTCTTAAAAGTCCAAACCCACGATTTTTTTTTTCTCAAATGTGGAAGGTCTTTCATCCCTGACCCTCTGAATGTCTGGAGGCAGGGACCCTGGGCCCACGGGTACAAACTTTTGTTTCCTAAGAGTGAAAGCTGAGGAAACTCAGAGAGGCAGGAGCTCTCAGGGGCAGAGATAATGCTAAAGCGAGAGAGAAGGAACTAAACTCACAGAAGGGAGAGGGAGGCAGCTCAGGAGTCCTTCATCTGCTGGCTGCAGGCCCCTCTCTGAATGGAAGCTCCAGAGCAGAGTCCCTGCTACCCTGCTCACGGTCGTATCCCCATCACCTGACTGGGGGGCTGGTGCCCAGAGGAGGAGCTCTACAGTGGATGAATGAATGGGTGAATGAATCAGTGACCACGTGTCTGTCAAAGCTGAGTTCATGTCTGGTGGTCCCATGAGGAGATGCAGAGGCAGGAGGACCAGGGAGGGCTTCATCTCATTCAGGAGATGCAATGCCCTGGGCATGGATCTGAAGTGCCCAGGCATCCTCAGGAAAGTGGGCACCTCCTTCCGCCAGGGAGCAGCCTGGGTCTGACTCGGAAGCAAGTGTGCAGGATGGTGGTTCTGCTCCTGGCCCCTGCAGTATCCCCCGAGAAGGGGCTGCTGGGGGGATTTGAGGTATGGTGGCCACTGGACTTGAGGGGAGTTTTTTCCTTGACTGTGCCGCACGGCATGTGGGATCTTAGTTCCCTGACCAGGGATCAAACCCACATCCCCTGCATTGGAAGCATGGAGTCTTAACCACTGGACTGCAGGAACTCCTGAGAGCTGTTTTCTAGAGCAGGACTGAACTTGCTAATATAGATGGTAACTCATCCTTGGAAGTTACCAGGCCTTCCTGGGGGCGAGAGTGGGCAGAGGGGCTGTGCCCGCCCTGGACTCCCTCCCCTCCACCTCCGAGTTGGCCAGTCTAGAGGCTTGGGGAGGGAGAAATGCCTTCCTGGCAGGGCAGCAGGAGATCAGCAGGGCTCCCACCCCTCCAGGCACTGGTCCTGGCTCGCTGCGGGTCCTGGGAGTGGCGCAGACACGGGGCTGGAGCACCAGCCGGCTCTCGCGGTCATCCCAGCCATGTGCTTCCCATTAGCTGCCCACGCCCGGGGAGGGGGCAGCCGCAGGGCGCTCCCTCACGTGTCTTGGCCGTGTGTCAGCACCGTCCCCTCCGCTGTGGTGTGAGCAGGAGGCCACAGGAGCGCATTGCTGGAGGGACGGGTGGGGGTGGTGTGTGAGCGCAGAGCCATGACGGTGGGGAGGGACCTCAGAGCCAGTGCAGCCTTTTCAGGGGAAGCCGTGGAGAGCCATGGGCTCCGGTGGGGGCCGGGAAAGGGTTAGGAGGGGAGAGCGGGGCTGTGAGGTCAGGAGAGATATGGGGGAGCCATGGCGCGGGAGGGGGATGGTGGGATCGGGGGAGGCCTGGGGACGGAGTCATGGGGGTGGGCGGGGGGGATGGGAGGCCCACAGGGACCCACAGGCACCAGCTCTGCATGGCAGCAGGGGGTCGTTGGCCTATGAGATGCAGGAAGGTTGAGGGAGAGGTTCTAGGACTCGAGCACCTCTGAGCCCCTCTCATACAATTACATTTCCCTCCGTTCTCACCCCGCTCCTAACCATCAGCGCCCTGCAGTTACTAGTGTACCATCCTCCCGGCCGGCACACCCCATGTGTGTCTTGTTCAGGGCTCTGTCTCCAGAACTGCCCCCCACCAGGCCCATGGGAACCCCTAATACGTGTTTGTTGATTGAACAGATGATGGACTCTCTGCACGGTGACTGTGGAAGTGGGTCCTCTTTACCCGCTTGGACACTAAGAAAATTTGAGAGACTGGAGGGGACAGAATCTTGCCAACTCTTGGCCCAGGGCCCTTCCCCTACCGTTAGGGCCACAGGTGTTGGAAGGTTGTCAAACCTCATGCCCAACGTCATCGAAATCCAGGGCAGGACCAAGGGCACGAAGGCTTTAGATGCAGCCGAGGGGGTGGATGGGGGTATGTGACACGGCAGTGGATGAGAAGCCCCTGGGAGCCGCTCACTGAGGCCTAGGCTGCTCGTGCCCCAGCCATGACCTAAGACACAGCAGACCACACTGGAGGTCACACTTGGACTCCTTCCCTCTGGAATGCCTGCCCAGGGGCCTGGTTCAGGCCAGGAGGAACCCCTGCTCCACCGCTCACCTCTATGATGTAATCTCTGCCATCTTTGCTGTGGACGGCCTTGACAGCACAGATGTCCAGGCCACCAAACATCTCTGAGCAGCTGTCCACCCACAGCCTGTACCTGCAGGGATGGACAGACAGTGAGTATGAGGGACAGGAGGCAGGGGCGGGAAGCAGATGGCGAGAGATGCAGAGACGGGGGAAGGAGAGACACAGAGAGACACCCACAGAAGAAACAGGCTAGGAGACAGACAGTGACATACACATAAACACATCCACTCGGAGATGGAGAGAGACAGGAAGACATAAGAGACAGAGATGCAGCGAGAGAGACAGAAAGGCAGAGAAACGGAGACAGAGAGAAACAGAGGCAGTGGGAGAGACAGAATGGGTAAAAAGAAAGGCAGAGACATAGATGGACAGTGAGAGAGACACACAGAGGGAGAGAGATTGGAGAGGGAGCCAGGAAGGCAGGCGACAAGCAGGATGAGAGGGAGGTGTGAGGGGGGCTGGCGGGGGATCTCAGAGACCTGACCTCCTTCCCCTCCCCAGGACTCTGCTGGCCCCCCAGTACTGGGGAGCTTGTCCTGCCCCCAGCTGGAGCTGTCCTGGACCCCAGCTGCCCCTGAAGTCCTTTTCCCTTGGGAAAACTGCTTGAAGAGCCCCAGAAATCCCTCCCAGGCCCAGCCTGCGGGGACAAAGGGTGTATTCTCTCCCTGGCCTGGGGCACGCAGGCAGAGGAGCCTGGCAGGCTTCTCCAGCCTGGCCCGGGGGCCTGGCCCTCTGGACCCGCTGCTTTTGTTCCCTTTCCAGCCACTTGATGGCTGCAGGGCCCGTTTGCTTTGCAGAAGATCTCAGTGCTGGACTCTGACCCTGCAACAAGGGGATGGTTGTATCTTCCCGGCCTTGTGCTTGGCTTCCCTCGTGGTGGCTGGATTTGGAGTCACAGGGGACTTTGTGTCAATGTTCCTGCTTTTCTCCCCACTCTCCAGGGTCACACGGGGCACGCCTGCTCGGAGATCTATTTGTGTCTCTGAGCCATAGGGCCTGGAATGAGCTGAAGTGCTCTCAGAGCTGGCTCTCTCATCTCCTCTGCTAAGTGCCCTGGAGGCACTGAGGTTACTGACCATGAATGTGCAGAAGGGAAAGTGGATTCCGGGCCTGAGCAGCCCCACTCCCATGGCAGGCTCCTCCAGGAATGGCCCATGGGGCCTGGGACTGAGCAGAGCCAGGGAGACAATGACCTGCTGGAGACACCTGGGAGCAGCCTGCGTGGCCCGAGGAAAGGCGGGGCTTCCCTTCTGGAAAGGTGGTGGGGAAAAGGGCCACGGCTGTCCCCTGAATGCCCGCTGGGGGACAGCTGTCACTCCCCCAGACCAGGTGCTGCAGTTGTGCCAGGGAACGAGCACAACCCCGGAGGCTGGAGAGCACAGGTGGGTGCCCACCTTGGGGGCGGCACCTGGGACTGGCAGGAAGGGAAGGAGACCAACATTTCCAGGGCACTCCCTGCCACTGAAGATCCCGTTCTCATCAGCCCTCTGGCTTGGGTGCATTACCTCCAATCTACAGCTGCAGAAGTTCAGAAAGGGTAGTTAACCTGTGTAACTCAGCTTGGAAGGGGGCAGGACCACTCGCTTTAGTTCATGCTGCCTCCTCACCTTAGAGCCCTGAACGAGGAGTTCCACAAGGGCAGGAACCGTGTTACATCCTTCCCCTAAGTCTCAGTCCGCGTGACTGTAGCACGGTGGTCCCGCTTCACTCTCTCGGGGCAGAGACGGGACACAGGAGTATCTAATTCCAGTGCTGCTGCTTTCTGGGTCATAGAGATGGGAGCCATGATAGTCATTGACTTAAGTCAGGCCTATCAGTGAAGAAGGCTCAACGCCAGGCTTTGATTGAAATGGATGGGAAAGACATCTTTCTGCTGGACTTGACACAGTTAAGACGTAAGCCTGGAGCCACTTTGGACCACTATATGAATGAGCTGACCGGAATGAAGCCAACATAGAAGAAAGCTGAACTGAAGTTGGCAGTGAAAGTGAAAGTCGCTCAGTCGTGTCCGACTCTTTGCGACCCCATGGACTGTAGCCCACCAGGCTCCTCTGTCCATGGAATTCTCTAGGCAAGAATACTGGAGTGGGTGGGTAGAATAAGTTCTAAAGTCCTACCTGGTGCTGCACCTCTGAAGTTTTCATTGCCACAAGCCAGTAAATCCCCTTGGGCTCCAACTAATCCATTTTCTGAAACTTGCAACTGATACAGAGTTCTTAAAGGGAAGGGTTGGGTCTTTTCGTCTGTGCTCAGCATACATGGCATGCAGTCGGTACTCAATACATGTCCACTGAACAGAGCTTTCTGACCCAAAGCCCATGCCTTGCCCACTGTCACTGAAGGCTTACAAGCAGAGATCACTGGGCACTCAGCAAGGGGTGTATGTGTGCTGCTGGCCTCAAGAGCAGGTGGCTGGTCCTTCTTCAGGTGAAGATGGCTCACAAGTGTTGTTTAAAGGGAGGGCCTTTCAGCCAGTGTGCCTCTCTGCTGCATTCATGATTCACAGGAAACTGACTTCTCCCTCCTCATGCTGAGACAGGAATATATCTGAGAGAGGAGTGGACACTCCGGGTGGGAGCCCTGGTACCCTAACGGGATGCTTCCATACGGCTGTCAAGAGCAGAAGAGATTGGTGAGGACTTCCTGCTCTCTTCCTGCAGCAACTGGTAGGGTCACAAAGACCCCTGGACTTGGAGTCAAGATGTCAAGGTTTTAGTTTTATCTCTGCCATTGATCAGTTCTGTGACTTGGACAAGCCATGCTCCCCCTCGGAACCATCTTCCCCATGTATAAAATGGGGTTATTGTAAAACATGCCCTGAAGGCTCTTACGGGCAGTAAAGCAGATCATGCCTGGGAAAGTGCTCTGTGGGTGGTGAGACGCTGGCCAAAGTGCGAGGCGGCATTCATTACAGGATCCTTGCTGTATCCCTGTCTACCTCCCCCTGTGGCTGGTACGCCTCCCTAAGCACCTCCGTTACCTCTTACCTCTCTGTCATGGCCACCTGCTCCAGCATGGCAGAGCCTGTGTTGGCCTTCCAGTTTCCAGAGATGGAGGTTCTCCTGTACCAGAACAAATGACACAGTGAGGGCAGTAGGGATGCTTGTCACTGATCTGCTTCCCTTTTTTGCTTTGGCTATTTGGTGGCTCTGATTCAAATATCTAGCTTACATTGTTTTAAGTCGCTTCAGTCATGTTGGACTCTTTGCTATTCTATGGACTGTAGCCTGCCAGGCTCATCTGTCCATGGGATTCTTCAGGCAAGAATACTGGAGTGGGTTGCCATGCCCTTCTCCAGGGGATCTTCCTGACCCAGGGATCGAACCCATGTCTCTTATGCCTCCTGCATTGGCAGGCGGGTTCCTTACCATGAGCGTCACCTGGGAAGCCCACTGTGATGTGCATTCTTAGATACACATCCTGTCTTCAAATTTAGTTTTTGTGTTTTTATTTCCCTTTATGTTGATTGTCTTATTTGTTGGGTCTTATGTATCTTTCCCTAAGCCACCTTTGAAATGTAAAATTGAATTTAATGAATACCTACACTATCAGATTAAATCCTTCAAATGGCCTCTTGTTTTTTTTTAGAAGAACTAGGGTAGTATAGCCCCTGGTGACTCTGGAATCTTTTTTGAGCACTAAAATGTAGGAAAAAATAACAAATGGGGAGAAGTGACTGCCTTTTCATGGCGAAGAGCAGGAAGGCCTTCTGCCTCTGTCTGCCTCATCACCCTCTCAGTTCCCTTGCCATTTCTGCTCCAGCAACAACTGACCTCCCTTCAGGTGCTCCAAAGCCCATGGGTTTTTTCCTGCATATAGGCCTCCATATACTTTCCCCCTTTGCCTGATACAGTCTTCATCTCCATCCTTGTCTCCCTACATCCTACTCATCTTTCAAGTTTCATCTGAAAATGTGACTTTCTGACCTGACACTTCCCCAATAAGAACCGTGAGAGTTGGGCTGTGAAGAAAGCTGAGCGCCGAAAAATTGATGCTTTTGAACAGTGGTGTTGGAGAAGACTCTTGAGAGTCCCTTGGACTGCAAGGAGATCCAACCAGTCTATTCTAAAGATCAGTCCTGGGTGTTCATTGGAAGGACTTATGCTGAAGCTGAAACCAAGTACTTTGGCCACCTCATGCGAAGAGTTGACTCATTGGAAAAGACCCTGATGCTGGGAGGGATTGGGAGCAGGAGGAGAAGGGGACGACAGAGGATGAGACAGCTGGATGGCATCACCGACTCGATGGACTTGGGTTTGAGTAAACTCCGGGAGTTGGTAATGGATAGGGAGGCCTGGCGCGCTGCGATTCATGGGGTCGCAAAGAGTCGGACATAACTGAGCAACTGAACTGAGCTGAACTGAACTGATACTACACTCTACCAATGTTTAGAAATGCTCATCTCAGTTGCAATGACTGCTTTAGTGTGCTGACTTCCCTGAGGGCAGGGAGCATGTTTGGCTCATCCTTCTGTACCTCTAGTGTCCAAGGGTTCCTGGCAGGTAGTAGGTGCCAGGCAACAACTTACTAGGTAAGGGGCTGTGTATGCTGAAGAGAAAATCCAGTGGCATATCTGGATTCAGCAAAGACTGAATGGCTTTAAGCAAAATGGAAGTGATAAACTGATCTGTTTCATGACCAAGGAAAGGCATGTGATTGAGCTTCAAGGGTGAACCAGTGCTATCAAATGTCTTTTTAAAAGAGAAAATACAATGTATCTGAGGATAGCAGATGCTGAGAACAGGTGGCCAACAAGAGCCATAATGATTAAAGTGTTTTAGTGACATTGATAAGCTTCAGTTGGTTCAGTTCAGTTCAGTTCAACTCAATGCAATTAAATTCAATTTGGCAAACAATCATCAGGCCACCCTATGTCCTAACTACAGGACTAATCTGAGTGTGCAGAGATGACTCGCCTCCTCCAGCTGTTCACTACCTTAAAGGGTAGACTAGGTAAAACCAGAACATAGGCATGGTAGGGTTAGTAGTACACATAAGGTGTGAGGCATTCTGGGGAAACAACTGTTTAGATACTTTATGTGACCCCAGAAGGTGGTGACTGAGATGTACCTGGAAGGATGAGTAGGATATGGTAGAGTGGAATCTGTATAGTGACAAGCGAAGGTAAGAACTGACTTGAGTCAGACAGGTACACATTTGAATCTTGATTGTAGTGCTTCCTAGTATAACCATGGACAATACTTCTGAGTATTTTCTCATTAGTAAATAAGAACCATTTTAGTACCGTACTTATAGTGCATCATGTGGATTAAAGGAAAGAGTCTCATAAATCTCTTAGTACAGTGGGTGCTACTATTATTTTTCAGTAAGTGTAGATGAGAAAAGAAAGCATTCTAATGCCAGAAACAGCAGGAGCCAAGCTAGATTGGTCTCGTTCCAAGAAGCTAATGATAGAGCTGATATTTAGTGAGTGCTTTCTACGTCTGAGACATGGGTCTAAAAGCTTTGTAAACACAGGCTTCAGTCTCACAAAACCTAATGATGGACATTATTATTATCATTAGTCCCACTGAGTGACAGAAGCCACCAAACCATATCTGAGAAACTCTGTGCTCTTACCATGAATCTCCATGGCAGAGCCAATCACAGGTTTGGGGAAAAAAGTTGATTGGCCCAAACATGATGCAGCTGCTTCACAGTAGGATGGAATGTAGGCTATGATAATGGAATCTACGTTTATGACACAGGTTTGATGCTGACCCCCTTGTTGAAGAGGGCAGGAGTGAGTGGAAAGGTGCTGACCTAACTAACTTTGGAAATTAGTGGAGACTGGGTGCCTAAGTACAGAAGAAACCATATATAAGTCCTGTACCATAGCTGGCAAAGTTGTTTCTCATGGGGCTACAGCTTGACAGTTCTGCAACTATACACATGTGCTGGGATTAAACAAAGAAGTATGTGGATGGAGGATGGGGGAAGCCAGGTTTTTTTCCCTGCTGGGAGTGGAAAGTTACAGATAAGCAACTTGGGAAGGCTAAAGTGAATCATGTTGAAAACCGAGTACTAGTTGAAGTCTGACACATCAATATGAACTGTTTAGCTTTAGCTCTAGATGGATATATACAGAGAGAAGTAATTACAGACGTGTGTATACACGGGTTGAGATACACACATTTATTTCCCAGCTGGGTCTGCCGAGAGGACTTAGACACAATGGCCCTCAGTAGCAACAAGCACAAAGGCCTGAGTGCAGGGCAGGAAGTGGGCCAGAAAGGACGTTGACGGTCATGGGTGGAGAGGGCGTTCTCCACTGAGGTCTGACACGAACCCCTTCCCTCGGACGTGGGCCAACGCAGGCTCCAGGAAACGCCATAACTAATGACAAATTGGAGCTGTCGGGACAGAAAGGCTCAGCATAAGGAATGCGGCAATGAGGTAATCCTCAAGGAGAGAAACTGGGGCAAGGTGTCGTCAACGTCAAGTGGAAACGCTAACAATGAGGAGAGGAGGGAAATGACATCATGAGGGACGGTGGAGGCCTCAGGAATGTGTCGGACCATACACTAGAATGTTCTCCGACTCAGAGGGGTTATGGGTGTGGGGAGGTGACTTTATCGCCCTGAAGGCATCTGAGAGCAGTGACAGGTTTGGCCTGGCTCCTGGGTGGGAGAATGGTTGGCAAGACAGGCCGAAGTATTCCTTGGCTCCATCCCTTTCCTGGGCATATTTCCTTGTAGGTCAATGGATTGCATGTTCTCCAGTTTTCCAGGCAGTGGCAGAGTGGAGTGGTTGCAACTCAAACTGTGAGGCCTGCAGAGCCTAAAATGACCATCTGGCCACTTCCAGAAAAAAAATTGCCAACCTCCAGTCTAAGCAATCCAGATAGAGCAAAAGTAACCCTAGATAATACAGAAATGGAACTGTATGGCTGTGATCAATGCAACCTTACTTACTGAGACAGGTGGAAGCTAGATTTGGCCTGTGGGCTGTGGTTTGCTGACCCTGACCTAGAGCACAGCTCCACCACACAGAAGCACATAGAGAGATTTTCCAACTGTCCAGAACCATCTGTTGCAGTCCTCAAAGGTGGAACCATGCAATCAGCACTCCATCCAGACTTGGAGACCAGACACTTATTGCCTCTCTGGAGTCTCATCATTTCAAGTGGAACCAGCACTATTCCAAAGTAAGACAGCGAGGCCTTGGAGCAGAAAAGACCAAGCCCTCCATGCAGTCAGGAGCTCCCACTCATCCTCGTAACCACAGCTCCAGCGTGAGTCATTATTTGCCTGAACCACCCCTGGATTGAATGTGTGATGAATTTTCTGGCATTCGTCCCTTTTCTTTGAGTCACATAACCTCTATCTCCACAGGACAATGACCCTGCCTGTGTTGCATGCTGTCTCGGTGGGTCTGTCTATACTGATCGTCTGCCTTCTTCTGATAATCATGTGACCACTGTTGGACTAATCAGCACTGTTTCCGTGGAATCGTAATCTTGAGTTAAGCCCTGAAAATGATTATGGTAGATTTCCCTTCCTAATGGGGTGCCACGAAGATTGTCTATTACTTCTGGCGACCCAGATTCCTGGGGCTGCCCTGAATCCCAGTATTTCTGAAATTGGTAATTTGGGGTTAGTTATTTTTTTTTAAGTTTCTGATCATCCATGGGTTTCTAATAAATTCCCTTTAAAAACATTCCACCATATTAGTCAGATGTGGTTTTTACTGCTTGCAGGTGAAGAAATCTGGTATAATCTCCTACCTGATCTTATTAGTCCCAGAGAAACCCTTTTGCCGCCCATAGCCCCAGAGCCTTCCTTTCATGGTTACAGGTCAGGTCATGACACTTCTCTGCTCAGAAGGGAAGAGAAGAAAATCCAAAATCCTCAGCAAGGCACTCAAGGCCGTCCTTGATGTGTCCCCAGGTGTCCCTCCCATGTAAACCTCCTCAAGGAGGTCAACAGTCTTTATTTCTCTGGGGGAAATGGCCTTCATTTAGGTAGACAGATTTTTGCCCTGGAATAAGCCATGATGGAACAGCAGCCTGCCTCTGTGCTAACTAGAGATGGAGGGAAGTAAAGGAGACAGAAAGGGAAGAGAAGATGTCCCTATGGGGTCTCTGCCATGACAGGGCATGCCATGCATCTTTAGTCTCGGTTCCTCTCACACTCTGCTCCTACCCTTCATCCCAGCCTCCCAGCCCCTGCCCCTGCCCAGAGACTCACATGTAAGCTTTGTAGTTGGATCCAATTTTCTGGATGCGGATGTCATACTTGGAGTCGATGAAGGCCTCAGTGGTGGCATAGGTTTTGGCCATTGCCACCATGCTGGTGATGTCCTGGTAGTCATGCTGGTTTTCTACTTTGATCTGTTGGGAGGATGAGGGGATAAGTACCACGTACCTGGTGTTCATTGAGCATCTACCCCGTGCATATATAGTGACTGTGGGAAGGTCATCTGCCTGGCAGGGGAGGCAGACACAGGACACCAAGTTGCTCCCCAAAGGCAGCATTCCACCTGGGGAGGTCAAGGGAGTGTTCATAGGAGGGGTGGGCTCTGAACAGGGGTCAGGGGAGGGAATGTGATTCTTACACGGACTATGAAGCAGGTATGTTCTCTGGAGAGGATGGAGGATGGACAAGCACACGGCAGGAGGAGCTGGGGGAGGGGGATGGGCCAGTGGTCCAGACTGGCCGAGGGGGCAGGAGGGTGGAGATACCTGAAGAGGGTCTTCAGGGAATAGACCACAGTGGGCCTCAACAGCTTTGGCAGGGGCTGGAATGTAGGTATGAAGGTTCTGGACAGCCACTTGAAGGAGAGGAGTTTAAACAGAAAGCAGCCACGTTTGTGATTCAGAAAAAGTGCTCCAGCAGTGTGGGGAGCCGGGTAGGGGGTGTGATATGGGATAGACAAAGACCAGTGTAAATGTGTGTCCACGAGTGGTGTGCACAGGCAGGTGTGTGCACGTGGGCTATGTGTGTGAAGTTTGTGGGGGACGTGTAGAGTGTGTGTGGAAGGTGTAGTTCGTGGCATATGTGTGTGGTGTTTGCATGTGTGATGCACATGGTGTGGTGCTTCTGAGTGTGCAGGCAGTGTGGGCATGTATGTGTGTGGACAGAGTATGTTGGGAGTGTGCATGCTCTGGACACAGCTAGCTCTGCTAGGCCAGAGGCGTGGGGGAGAAACTCAGTCATGCTGTTTACTGGGGCTGAGGCCAGGGACATGGGGTGTGCCTTGGGGTTGGCGAGAGGTCTCAGGAGAGCTGCCAAGGCCAAGGGCAGGCGACGAGGCCAAGGCTCTGGGAGGACGATCTCAAGACACACCAGAGGCTGGCTCCAGCCCCTGTGCATGGCCGCGTGCCCCCTCCCCTGTCATCCTCACTCGGACAACAGAGGGGTTCCTTGGCCAGCAGCGGGCAGAGGCCAGATCCGCGGGGATGGGCGTGTGGCGCTCGTGTGCGGGACGGTGCTGTCCTCACAGCCTCTCCCAGCCCCTCCCCACCTGTCCTTCAGGCTCAGCAGTGCCTAGACCACTCCATCCCCCCCGGGAGGCCGCCGCCCACCTCTGCCCCGGCCTCACACTTACAGAACATCTCCTCAGTTCTCTTCTGGGACTCGAAACAGGCTTGTGGGGCAGGCAGGGTGTGGGTGTTATTGTGACCACTTAACAGAGGTGGAAACGGAGATTCCTCTCCTTGTCCAAGGCCAGAGAGCAGCTGAGCAGAGAGCTGAGCATGAAACCCAGGACCGCAAAAGCACAGCTCTCCGAACCACCTCAGGGGTACCTACGACTCACGCCTGCTCTCCACCCAGCAGGCTGTAAACAGCTCGGCAGACCTCTCCTCTCAGCTCTCCGTGGGTCCCCGCCTCTGAGACAGCGAGCCTCCTCCCACCGAAGGCCGAAACCACCCCTTGTCCTAGGTCCTCTAAGGCTCTGACTGCTTGCTGTTTCCTCCTTCCTCAGTAACAGGACCCTTAAGTTTTCTCTGGGGATTTGGCCTCTCAGCTAAAGATGACTTTGTCTCAGTCTCCTTTATCTCGGTAGGTGTAGCCAAGGGTCCAAGTCCAGCTAGTGAAAATGTGAAGAGATGTGATGTGCGCAACCTCTGGGTGGTGCCTTTAAGCTGAAAGAAAACTTCCCTTTTCCTCTCCCTTCTACCTGGCTGGGATGTTTTCATGATGGTGGGAGCTGGTGCAGCCTTCACGGGCCACACGATGGAAGCTGCATGTTGAGCATGCCTGACTAATAAGGTGGAAGGAACCTGGATTTCCCACACCATGGTGTCCCGAGTCTGCCCTTGATTGTGTATGCTCAGACTCCTACATGAGAGCGAAGTAAGCCTTAATCTTCTTTAAGCAACTGTTATTTTGGTCTTTGTTAAAGCAGCCAACCTGTATTTCTGCCATGCATTTTTCAGCTCTTGCTCTTCATTGATTCTTTATCTTTTGAATCAACATGATCATGGATCCACTAGTCTTAAGTTGTTCCTGCTTTTCAGTACCTCAGGTACCACTACTCTCTCTATCTCAGCATCCTCATTTCCCCACTCTCTCCCAAACCAACTCTCTTTGGATGCCATTCCCCACTATTCCACCCAAACTGATTTGGCAAAGGTCACTTCTGACCTCCTCATTGGTGAATCCGATGGAGTTTCTTTTGGTCCTCTTGCTGCTTTGACACTCCATGGTATGTGAAATGGCTAAACTTTTTGAAATTTGGTTTCACTATTCTCTTCTGGTTCTCTTCCTTTTTTTCCCCTGGCAACTTCTTCACAGTCTATATATTGCGACCTCTTCCTTCAACTACCCCTTGGGTGGTCACAGTATTTCATTCTCGACCAACATTTGGGATCTGGTAAAGAGCGACAGAGTTACTGAAATTAAAGAATGGGGCTGGGAGCTTGCAGGGACAGCTCGTTTAATTCTGTTTTGTCAGTGGATGGGCCTGGAAAGGGCCAGAGCTACTTCCGCACCTCAGTTTCCTAGTAAGCACAACATACACCACAGGCTGTCTGAGAGATTTCTAGTTGTCCACAGCATCCATTCTCTTTTTCTATAGCTGTGAAACGCCTTAATCTGGGGGTGCATGACCATCCAGAATAAACATTACACTTCCTCATCTCCCTGGCACCTGTGTGTGCTCATGTACTCAAGGCTGGGTGATCGCATTTTGGTCAATGGGACTTGAGCAGAAGTTGGGTTTGAACTTCCAGGTCTGCCTTAAAAGGGAAGTGTGCATGTGAGGCGGGAAGGAGGAATGCTTTACAATTCTTTCTTTCCTCATCTGGCAACACCCCAGGAAGGAAGGATGGAAGGAGCCAGTTATGTGAGAGGGAAGGTCCTAGCTTGTTTAAGCCATCTTAGGTTTTTGTTACAGAAACTAAACTTCATCCTTAAGTAAATATCTGTAGAATGCATCATGTATGCATTCATTTATTCACAGGATAGACAAAAGAGAGCAAAGAGAGAAAGTATAGATGCAGTGGTTTAATTAATTAATGGTCATCTCAACCTTCCTTTGTGAACCCTTCTCTCCTAGAGTCGGGTGTTTGGATGGGGCACTCATCCTGTCCTCTCTAGGACTAAACACGTAACCCAGGTTTCTTATACATGGGCTGGTAATTTTATTCTCAAGTTGGGTGCTGTCTGAGCCCCATAAAACCTGACTCCACCCCTGGCTCTACCCATGTCTGTCTCTCCATTAGACACGAGCTTCCTGAGGGCAGACAAGGCATCTTGTTCCCAGTTGTAACCCTGCTGTCTGGAATGCTGTGGAAGACCCAGACACGTCTGCTGGGCTGAGTTGAAGAAGGATGGATAAAGATGTGCTTGTAACTGGGAAGGGTGCAAGGGGATGGAAGGAAAAATATGGGGTCTTGGAAAAAGTCAAAGAAACTGTGCTTCAGGGAAACTTGTTTTATAAAGTAAAATTTTCTGTAAATGCTTGGGCTGGATTCCACACTTAAAAGGTTTACAGCTTCCTAGTGGAGCGCCTGTGGCGCAATCGGTGAGCCTGAGTGCAGTGCTTGGAAGAGGCTTACGGCTTCCTTCATGAGTCTTGAGACCCTGGTGAAGTCAGGGGCCTTGCAGAGGGGAGCAGGTGGCCTTTTGGGGGGTGCTGGAGGAGCTGCTGGGCTGGTGCTCAGGGCATAAAGGGAGGTGGCGTGAGAAGGTGTTGGGGACGGGCAGCCATGGAACGGCCACAGCTAGGGAGGGAGTCTTGGCACGCCAATGTATTTACTAGCTGGAAACCCCTCCAACTGTCCACAGAGACAAGCTGAAAACAGGAAGCTCTAAATGAGCTGTGACTCAAGATGACCCATGTGCTGCTCTGGGGACCTGTGCCCAGCGAATGCCTTGACTCTGAAGACTCACACCCTCACCCACCTCCCTACCCACTCTACGGCCCCGCACTGTCTCTTGTGTCCTCCTTCTTCCGCCTTTCCCACCTCTCCTCCTCCTGGCCCCTGCCTTCTCCCATACTTTCCCTCCTACGTCTAGTATCACCTGCCTCCTCTCTGCCCCCTGCCCACCTCCCACTCCTCCCATCTTTCTCCATCCCTTCCTTTCCCTCCTCCTCCCCTTCCCCACTTTCCCCACCCATCTCAGTGCGGTCTCCGTCCCCCTGCCTTCCCATCTCTCCTCCTTGTTTTCCTCGCTGGATCCCTGTGTGGTTTCTCACACGCTCCTCCTCTCCAGCTTTTTGAACTGCTTCACCTCCCTCGTGTGAGTGTGAACGTGAGTGTCTGTGCTTGCACGTTCGCAGACATGTGCAGAGGGAGAGAGGAGTTGAGAGACAATTCCGAATCTCCTCGGTGGGCTTCATCCAGGCCTGGGATGGGAAAGTCATCCTTACAGCCTCAGCAGACTGTGTGCTATTTGCTTGAACACCTCAAGCAGTAACAGGGAGCTCACTGCTGGGCAAGGAAGCTCATACCATCTCAGGGAACTTGTCCTACTGTATATTAGACCAAGAGTGTTCGAATGGTTCCAATGACTGATCATACAGGGTAAGTCTTGGCTCTTTGCCTTGAGTCTGGTTTTCATCCACCAGATGCAAGCCATCCAGGTATGCCCAGGTCACTCTCTTCTTAACTCATCCCAACATGCGAGCAAAATCTCTGTTATGTCCAACTCTTTGTGACCCCATGGGCTGTATCCTGCCAGGCTCCTCTGTCCAGGGGATTCTCCAGGCAAGAATTCCAGAGTGGGTTGCCATGCCCTCCTCCAGGGAATCTTCCCAACCCAGGGACTGAACCTGCATCTCTTATGTCTCCTGCATTGGCAGGTGGATTCTTTACCACTAGCACCACCAAATTAATCACATAAACCAATGTCTTAAAATAAATCTATGTATAGCCTTCTCATG